GGGGGGGGAATAACTGTCTTTGCCTAGAAGCAATAAAAACTGCAATTTATTTGGTTCTTTCTCTGCCCTCACCCCTCACCTCTCCATCCATCCCTTTGGCATCTGAGCTGACCAGTTCCTTTAATACAATAGGTTCTATTTCTTTATTCATTCACCACAGACAGTTAGGCAGAGGTAAATGGAAATAAAGATGTTAAAAGGAGTGTGTAATAACTTGCATGGAAAGGATGGGGACCGATTCTCAAACTAGGCTGGACAGTAGCATCACCTGGGAAGAGGTGATACAACCCAGACCAATGCAGTCAGCATTTCCGAGGGCGGGGGGTGGGACCCGGGCATCAGTGTTTCTTTTAAATCTCCCCATGTTATTCCAATATCTGGGCAAGGTTGAGAACCACTACCTTTGAGGAAGTAACAACTTTAGAAAATTCGTGTCAGAATTGCCCTGCCAAAACTTGTAAGTGCTGCTATCACATGCAGAAATTCTTGGCTTTTCTCTAGCATACTACAACTTATGCTAAAATGGTCTATTTTCAATGCTTTCTTTTTGATACTTTCTCGTTTAAAACCATATATATTTGAGAACTCACCTAATTCTATCATGTTTTATGTTTCCCCACCTTTTATTTTGAAAGGATACAGCATTTTATTATAAAGCTGCATTGATGAGGTAGAGAGTTCCTCAGATTCAGGAAAATGCTCAAAATTTTCATAAAGGGATCATTTTTACTCTCCTTCCCCTCAGTCACTTGGGCATTTGAGAATCAAATATCCAATATGTTCATGTTGCAAACCATTGGATTCCATCCCAAGCCTCTAACATCAGCATCAGCATATGTCCCATTCAGGGAGGCCCACAGCGGGCTCCAAAGAAATGGGCCCAAAGACAGGCTTTGGTAAAGGAAACCTGAGACCCCAAACAGGATGTACAAAAAAAGTGAGTATGTTTCCTTTTTATAATATGTAAACTAATACAAAGATTGTAAATGATTTTTTTGTGTGAAAAAAGAAGTAATTACTGAATGATTGACAGCTAGGAGCCTCTCATCCTGCCAGGTGCGTGTTGATTGATAAAATTATGCAGTTCTACCTTTTGTTCTGTAAAGTAGGTTTTAGACCACGTGACTGCCTAATTTTATTAAAGTGGGAATGAAGAGTTTCTTTGATTCAGTTTTAGAGATTCCCCAAATGGTGATATTTGGGAAATCTAGCATTGTACAGTAATAAATATTTGCACTAAAAAGGGAGGGTTTTCTCCCCCGTAGAATATTTCTGACCTCTATTCAAATTCCTTAAAACAGGGCCTTCTTGCCCTTTTTAGAGGTATAGGGTCAGGGAGGGGAGGAAGAAGGTTTTATCTCTTTGATTAAACAGGATAAAAGGTCTTTGCCATGTGACCACAGGCAGTTTGTTGCTGTGACACCAAACGCGTTACCTGAAATTGGAGCTCTCCAAGTGGTCTCAGAGGCTCCTGGAAGTTATAGGGATAAATGAGAATGTTAGTGTTACGGTGTCTGGGACCTCATGGAGAAATGGTCACCAGTAAAACGAAGTTGACACAGGAGCCTCAGTATCCTGTCTTCAGCTCCAGTTAACAAAATAACTGAGCTTCCAGGTCCAAGTCCACTGGCTGCTCATCACAGGGCAACAGAATCACTGACACGGAACCTGACACAGCTGAGTGGGCCTGTCTCAAACTGCTGGAGCCCCAGTTTCTTCATTTCAAACGGAAGACAATAATACCGACCTTCCTTGGTCATTATGAAGCGTAATGAAAATACGCATGTATCTGGCACAAAATCTGACGCTCTGTAGAGAATGAATGGTGGCAAATGCTATTTGACCAAGGGATATGGGAACACCTGTCTACACTCCATAGTGTTTCTCAAGAGAAGTAACAAAAAGATCAGGCAGGTGAACACTATTATTTTTAGGTCTTGGTCCCCAAACTCAGAGTATACCACTTGCTCTAGTGAACTTGGAGAGACCGCATGGGTCCAGAAGAAGCAATGGACTAGGAGCCCAGTGAGGCCTTCCCCCTAGGCCTCCCTCAGGTTTCAGTTTACTTTCAAAAGGATTAGACACAATCTGGGGAGGAAGCCTTGGCCATGGCCCCATCTAATTTCTGTAGAGTATGGTCAAAAATAAAACTACAATCCCATAGAACACTGTAGCTGAATCAACTCTTTTGGCCCAGACCAAATGTGACTATTGCCCTTGTGGATACAGGGTGGTGGTGGAGGAGACCATGAGATTCCTGGCCAACAATAGTGGTGACTTTGTGTTATCTCTCCCCTCATCTGTCCCTGTAACACATTTGGAGGACTCCCCATTGTGGGCTTACAATGTCCCTCCCCCACCAGAGGTTTGAGTTAGAGAAAGACTTAGTTAATTAACATCGATGCCACTTTATTGACACTACTTCATTATGAAATACGTGCAACTTGCTCGTAAGAATTTCTGAAATTCACACAATTTACAGATATTAAATGGGTCACAAATTTCAAAGTCAGAATGATACTTAGGTGTTGTCACTCCTTCTGGACCAGTGGATTGAAATTCTTCTGCCCAGTTTCCTCTTCAATCAGACTCTCCTGAAAAATATGTAACAGATATATATCAAGGTTGATTTTACTGGCTGAATTTTTTTTTTTTTTTTTAGTGTTTTTTGTTTTGTTTTGAAATCCTCACCCAAGGATTTTTCCCGATATTTTTTCCATTGCTTTTTAGATCGAGTGGGGGAAGAGAGAAACATCAATGTGAGCAAGACACATCAGGATCAACCCTACAACTGGGGTTGTGCCCTTGACCGGAATCGAACCCCAGACCCTTCAATCCACGGACCAACACTGTAACCACTGAGGCAAACCAGTTAGGGCTTTATTATGTTTTTGATACATTATTTCTAAAATATTGATATAGAAATAAAAGATTCACTTGTTTTATGCACTAGAAAATGCTAAAGAGGGATACAGCCGTGTCTTTGAAAGTTGTTTATAATAAAATCTACATGAATCACTTAAGGACGGGGCGTGAGGAAGAGAGCAGCAGAAAGGCCGACCCGTCAGTGTGTCAGCCTCGCCGTTGCTTCCATTCCTTCTCTCGAATGTCATGTTCGGGAGGTTTTAGTGCTGGCTGTATTTTTATCATGCGGTGAGCAGGGTTAGAAAAAGGAAGTAAAGAGACCTGTCTGCTTTTTTCTTTTTCCTGTGGGTGTGGAAGCTCAAGTCAACGGAGAAACAAAAACTATAGCTAAATGTCACATGTGATTTGTTCAGGCGTTCCCTGCTCCTGGGCGTAATGTCGTTAACTGGCGGACCATGGTGCTCAGAGAACACCAACACGGACTTCAAGAGTCAATTTCTATATTCAATTCTCTATACTTTTTTGAAAATCTAAAGCCTACATTGGGTTACTATAGTTCCATTCTCTCTTTTTTTTTAACCCTCACCTGCGGATATCCTTATTGATGAGAGAGAGAGAGAGAGAGAGAGAGAGAAAGAGAAAAACATAGATGTGAGAGAGATCAATTGGTTGCCCTCTGTACGTGCCCAGACCAGGGATCGAACCCACAACCCAGGTATGTGCCCTGACCAGGAACTGAACCGGCGGCCTCCTGGCGCATGGGACAACGCTTAGCCAACTGGGACACAGCGTCGGGGCTACAGCACCATTTTGAATTTCTGCATTTCCGAGGGAAAACAATGCCAAACCCAGAACAACTGAAACATTGGTGGAGAGGTGTGAGTACCTAGAGAAGATGCCTGGGGTGTGCATTTGAAGAATATATGGACACACTGAAGAACTGACATGGAGCGAGCAGTGGGAAGAAATTTGTTTTGTCATCCCAAAGGCCAAAGCCAGCCTTAGCCGATAAAGGTCACAGGGTGATTTCAGTTCATGAAAGGAAAAAAAAGGCTCCAACCATTGTGCTGTCTAACCGCTGGAAGGGGTGGCCCTGAGACAGCGAGGGCCCTGCCACGGGAGGAGGTCAGGCGCTCAGGAAGGGAGGCCTCGCAGCCGCCCAAAGGTGGTTGCCCTAAGTGGACAACCTACAGGGTGGTCCCCAAGGCCTGTTCCATCTCTGGGGCCCCGGGCTCTTGTCATGGACACTCACCAGCGCTCCTTCCAGCTCCCCGAGGGCAGAACGTGGCTTGTGGAGGATGCATTTGAAGCGCTGAGGTTCTGCTAGTTGATCCACCACTTTGGCTCTCTGAAGACAAATAATGAGATTTTTGGAGATGGAGATAAAGAAATGAAATGGTATCTTCCCTCTCCACTAAAAACTGCAAAATCAAGGTGGATGCGGGACTGGGGAGGTCGTAGGATTGGGATGGGGACTTGAGGAACATCCATCCGCCTGTGGGTGGAGGTGATGGTGATGGCAAGGAGAGAGAATATTTTCGTTCTAGAGATGACATGGGAAGACAGTATACAAAATATACAAGAACTTATAGTTATGAACAGGGTTGGTTTTATTTTCTAGTTTTTACTAGTATGTCATAGTTAAGTGAGAGTTGCTTCGCATACAATCTGTGTAAAGGAGACCTCAAATTCTGGGGCTTCTATATTTTGTGCTAACTTATTTTTATTATTTCTCCAAAAAAAGAGATTTCTTTCCAACGATTGTACATTTTTCTAGCTAAGTTTCCCATTCTCAGGCTTATATTAAGTGTCTGAGCCCCGAATCACTCATAGCCTAGTTTGTTTCCCATTAATTAAAAACAAACAAAAAAACAATAACAAGAACTGTTTTTTATTAATCCACTGACATTTTTTGGATTAACCAGCTAACATATATGGCCTCTCTCATGTAATCCTCACACGACCCCGAAGAAGTCGCATTTTATAGATGAGAAAAACCAGACCAACCAAGTACTCTGTTAGTGCTAGCATGAGTACTGAAATCTAATTTATATGAAATTCAATCCAGCATATTTTCCAGTATATATTTTGTCTCGTTGAGCTTGCTAACTCCTCTGCTCTAGCAGCCTCTGACTTCTATTTTTAAATACCCATATCAGTAAAAAGAAATGATAGAGCATGAGGATATGTATTTATAAGTTATAAAAATGTGCCGCTGACCTAAATCATAGGTATTTTTAAAAGATGAAATAAGAAAGAAAAAGTTCTAAGATACTCTTTCCAAATCTCAAAGAATCATCTTGCCCTAGAGACCTTGGCTCCATCGTTTCTAATTCCTTTGGCAATTCTGTGGGCCCTGGGTACCACACACTGTGCACTTATTGCTGCTTTCTCTGAAGCTGTTCCTTTTCTGTGTCTTACTAGTCTCATCTGAACTGGAAGCAGGAGCGGGACTTGACTTTGAAAGCATCTTGTCACCCCTGGGATACTAGGATGGAGTCTAGAGCAGCACTATTGGGCCACACACAGAATGTCTGTATAGTTACTGACTATATTTGGTTATTGAGCCAAATAAGCCAGGTCTCATTTTGAAGGTGAGAGAGACTTACCTCTTGAAAAGAATCAATCAAATTTTCTGCATTTCTTTTTCCCCCAGGGCGCAACCCATAGGACCAGTGCTGGCCGGAGCAGCCCACCACACACCAAGTCAACAGAATAAGTCCAGCAAGAAGTTTTGGAATGGGCTCCATTCTAAGGAACATCAATGAAACAATGAAAATAGACCCAGCCTGGGATGAGCAAAAGGTAAAGAGCTCTTTGGTGAAAAGCCTAACACTTGTGTCACTGACGCTATGGAAGAAGGGGGTAGGAGCCATCTACAATTTTCACGCACAGGCATGGAAACACACATACCCGCGTGCTTGTCTTGAGTTTCCTAGCCACTGGGGACAAAATCAGTTCTTTAAACTAGTCTGTTTTTATTTTCATTATTTATTATCCAAATTCATGATTCATCTCTTATGAAGTTCACCTTTTTGTCTTAACCTTTTGCCCTGTGTATCGGTTTTCAATTGTATCATTCCTGAGGGGAAAGGGAATTGGGCCATCTGCTCTGATAAGTGGCTCCTACTAAAAATTTCTGGCTAAAAGAACGTTTTTTGACATCAAATGGCTATACTAGGTACTAATTACATTCTGCTGACTATCTGTCTCTAGTCTTCCTTGCATTGGTGCTGGCTGGACCATCTGTGAGAAAGAGGGAGGACTCACTCAGCACTTTTCAAAGCCCTGAGTTCCACACCAGATGCCTCCCTGGCCAAGGTGGTCTCAAATTATCTAATGATATATGGAGTTTTCACAGAGAGTCTTCAGATTAATTTTCAGTTGATGGGAAGAGGCTTAAAGATAAAATAAAATATTGGTCAATGAGCTGTTGCAATTCCCCAAAGGCTAGCTCTCTGTGGCCTGGGGTGATAATGACCATGAAGGTCAATGTTTCTTTAGACATTGTCACACTTGGACTTAGCCTATAACTTAGGGTGTCAAAGCCCTATAGACAGACAATAAATAGCATGCAGTCTTTAAAAAGTGCTAGAAATACAAAGCATTTTACCTGAGAGCAAAGAACCAAAGAACGCCGAGCTTCCTTTGGAGTGTGTTGAATACTATGCCTTTCATTTTCCTAAGCTTCCTTTTTATATGAAACTTGTCCAGGATACTGAAATCTTCCCCGCTGGTAAATTGTACTGCACGTGGACTATTTTTTAAGAGTATTTTTTTAATCCTCACATAAAGCCCTCTAATGGTATATGTAATTGGAACACCCACTGGTATATCTGTTAGATTTACTTAAATCTTGGCCATTAAAACCTCAGCTAAGCCTTTTATAGCTGAGGCCACAATTCAAAGAGATTAAAATCTAGCGAGGATGGCTTCCCTTGAAGAAACTGACAGACCTATCAAGAGTTCAAGGAAAATAGCTGTCTTGGATTAAGTGATGTCAAATGCATACTTAACAACTTTCACAAAGGAGACCATATAATAATTATAGAAAGAAGCTGATGTGAGGATGCCTGGGAGCTGGTCTCAGCACTTAGATTCCTCATCTGTAAAGGAACTGATTCACAAATAACAATAAGTGATTATAGGCACTACACCAAGCCCATATAAAACCTGACAGTATGAGTGTGAAAGTCCCCCAGTCTCCTACCCACCAGGCTCCCACCTTATCTTGAAAGCCTTCTATGGCATCAAAAAGGTAAGCTGAGACATTGTAGTTAGAATATACTCATCGCAGGACCATCTAGAGTAGACTTAGGTCAACACTTCGACTCATTCCAGTAGCTTATGATCCAGTTAAAATATGCAAGTCACTGTGCTAAAGGCATCGGGAGCACAAAGGTGAGAAATAATGGTTTCCTGGTATGTCAGTAAGACCAACCTCACTCATTATCAACCGTCCTGAAAAGTGGATATCATTAACCAAATTTTATAGATGTTTCAACCCAGCAGTGAGCCCTTGGATATGTTTTTTACATAGTACAGTTATTTAAATGAGAGCGAACCATTCATCTTTATGACATTTATTTGAACACATAATTGTCTTTCTCTAATTCACCACTGGGCTGTAACTCATGATAGATAGTCAAGGACCCCATCTTACTTAAACTTCTGTTAATAAGTTTGTAGCTAGCATTAAATAAGTGTATCTTTGAATAAATGAAAGTAAGGATTTTTTAACCGGATTAAGCCCAATGTTTCCTCTACTACTGCAACAAAGATGTTTAGTCTGACATAGAATTAAATTTTCATGTACAGTTGGCTGTAAGGACTGTTATATTAGATACATAGTAAAATGGTTAAAAATAACTGGATAATATTTTGTCATTATAGAGCCAGGATTGGCAGCTTCTCCTTGGGTAGGATACTAAATCAATCAGTCATTGCCCGGTGTCCTCGGGAACAATTACATTTGCAAGGATTTCAGAGTAAAGAGCGATGGTGTCCTGCCCAAATAAACCCCCTTGCTGTGCTCATCCCTCTCTCTGGAGGCTGTCACATCCTCAGGGCAAGTTAGCGAAGGGGATAAACTTTATAATTACAAATGGAAATTTTAAAAGACATGATTAAATTGTTTTAATTATTTTTTATAACTTTGAATAATTTAAGGGCCATTCTGACATGAAAGAGTGGAATCTCATCTCACTATAATAGAAGGGTAATGAGAGGCTGTTTTTCAGCAGAAGTTCATTATGTTTGCACAGTGTTTGTTTAAATTGTCCAATTGATTTCCTGTTTGCTGGAAGAGATTCGCTCCTAACTGTTGCATAAGCAGATGCGGTCTTTGGTTAGGACGAATGGAATGGCAGTTCAGGCTTCTGACCCTTATTGCCAGGTTCATCCCTTACCTCCGGGTTTCTCGTTATTTCTATCAGTTGGTGTTAAAGTTCTGAATAATGCTTTGGAGTTTTTAGATGAATACAGCCACGTGCCCGTGAATTCATCCAGTCTGCTCTCTGCCCTCTAAGTCTGCATTTGTATTGTTGTAGGTCACAAATATCAAGGGCAAAGGCCCAATTTGTTTAATTTTCTACAGCATCAACTAGGGTATCAAATATGCAGTTAACAAAAGTTTGATGTTTAGGAACAAACTCTGAACCTTTCCATAGTTCCAAGGACAGAGCAATTTACTATGAAGCTGAGTATAGTAAACTGGGTTAAAATAATTGGATTTTATAGTTACCAATTTTTTTCTAAATTGAGAGATTTCCTAAATGTTAAAGTATGTATGGCTTTAGAGGGAAAATGGCTTCATTACCTGAATGAAAAGAAACACCTTAACATTATTAAAATGCAACAATAATGATTTAGTAATCTTGCTGAGTGACAGATGCGTGTTAGCCCTAATGCGAAATCTCAGCAGGAAGAACTCCCGACCGCCTGCTGACATGTCTAAGGTTGGGGAAGGATTTCAGAAAATTAATCCTTGAATAAGGTGCTCTGTACAGGAAATAAAGTAACCGCTCTCCTTTGCAGAGATGTACCTTTTAATTTTAAAAATAATGCTTCCTTGGAGATTTAATACCATTCTAGGGCTTTTCATATATTAAAGATGGTTTAGCTCTGGCCGGTGGCTCAGTTGGTTGGAGCGAAGTCCTGTGCACCAAAAGGTGGAGGGTTCAGTTCCTGGTCAGGGCTCATACCTAGGTTGCAGGTTCGATCCCCGGTTGGGGTAAGTACAGGAGACAACTGATAGATGTTTCTCACATCCATGTTTCTCTTCCTCTCTCTCTAAAATCAGTAAGCATATCCTCGGGTGGATTAAAAAAATACATGACTTAAAGTTGACCTGAGGGTAGATATACAGTATAAACAACCAATTCATAAAATGAACTGGAGAAAGCACTGATTTATGACGGTAATATGACGGTAACCTTTGTAAGAAAAGGAATTGACATTATTTCCTAAAATTTCTTTGAAACTAGTTGAAAAAACTAGACTAGGCTATATTACAGCACAACATAAAATATTGTTCTGAACAATTACACAGCAGAGTACTAAATTTTATCAATGTATATAATCTAGCTAATTTAGGTTTAAAACATTATCTGTCCCTCCTTCCCAACAACTGTATTTTTGCCTGTGTACGGACATGTTTTATCACTAGGGCTAATGGAAGTTTTACTATTTTGAAACATTTCTCCCTCCTTAAAATTCTCTCTCTAGTTATCAGGCAAGAATGTTTGAGGTTGAGGGGGGGCAGTGTATTTAAACAACCTAATAAAGCTAACTGGTAATGTTCATGAACTAAAGAGGGACACAAATTAAATGAATTTTGGAAGGCAGTCTTTTTTTTTTTTGAAATTTCTTCATGTTGTGAGCATGGTGGATTTTAACGGGATCATCAAATAATACTTAAACAAATACATTTTCTTTGAAAGGGCCACTAAAGTAAATTAATGAGCTACCTGGAGGGGTAGCTCGGTTGGTTAGAGCGTCATCCCAATACCCCAAGATTGTGGGTTTGATCCTGGGTCAGGGCACATACAAGAATCAACCAATGAATGCATATAAGTGGAACGACCAATCAATGTTTCTCTCTCAAATCAGTTTTTAAAAATTAAATTAAAAAAACGAATCCATCATAAATGTTATGCTATATTTCTTTTTCTACCCAGATCCTCAGGGCTAGTCATCAATACATATTGAAGAAATGTAAGCAAAATAGAGAAAGTGCGGCTTTTCAAAAGCAAGACAAGAAACTCCTTTCCAACATTTCACATTGTTTATTAATGCAGGATACATTAGACCCGAACTCTGCAGGTTCTAGGAATATCATGTTTCATCTTTCAGATTCTTCTGCACTCTTAGGCTATGTCTACAGAGGTACCCTTAAGTGGATGAAGAACAGTCTATAATTATTGAAAATATAGTACAGAGTGAAATGATTTAAATATAATTTAGGCACATATTGATTATGAAAATAGATCTCTCTCAATACAATATTTTCCTTTCTTGGTAAAAATAATAAAGCAAAGAAAATAATTCATTTCTGAAGTTGCTTTCCTTTACCTGTAAAGGTCTGGTCTCCTCCCACTGTGCATATATACCCTTTACTGGGAGGAAAGCTTTGCATATGTCTATATAGAAGAATAAGCTATGTAAATATTCAAGACATGTCATCCGCCCAAAGGAGACCAAGTGGTTTCTAATGATTCACTGCCCAACCTGATGGGTCTGGAGAATTCAGAATCCATTTGGACACAGCTTATACCCTGCTCCTGGGCAGACGTAAGGACACCGCTTACTGGCAGGAAGTACAGGCCCTATCTCTGCTGCTGCAGATAATGACTCCAGAAAATCAGACTAAAACTTATTAAAACAAAACCAAACCAGAAAATAGAAGTTAAAGAACCACAGGTGCTGGGCAACTGGTATTACATTTTGGACCAGCCAAATGCTTTTATTTTTATTTACGTTTTTTGGTGGCTATAATCGAATAGTCAGTTTTAAACCCCTCATTCCCCACTGTAGGGTTTCAGCTGCAGTTACACTGTGCTGCCTTCTAGAGGAGGACTTGGCCATATCCATCCATATTTTGTAGCCTGGATTGCAGTGGATTGAGACTTAGTATCGGTTTCTAAGCTGGCCCTGTTTAAACTGTTTGGCCACTGAATTAAACAGTAACACACCTTGGTTTTTTGGTTTTGAAGTATCTTCCTATGCTTGTTTGGACTGTCCAGGAGGAAACTAGTGTGGTAGTGTAAATACATACAATGGCCTGGTCTGGCGCTGAGTGGAACTTGCTGAGAATGAAATCTGGAAGAAGGCTCCTTCAAAAGTTGTTGCTCTAGGTGGATTCTTCCTCCATCTACAGAGCTCCACTGTAACTTCAGCTGACAGTGATGTCTTTCCTTCAGCTTTGTCTCCACCAGTAAGAATGGAGGATTTCTTTAACTCAGCTACTATTTTGTTCTAAAAAAATAAACATTATAAAAATGATCCTGAAAAGAGCCTTGGGGAGTCTGACCTCACCACATTCACACAGTGTGATAGGTAAAGTAGGGAGGCGTCACTAAAGCTTTTTATAAACCTGAACAACCTCTTGACATTTTTCAAAAAGTTTTAACAATTTAAATATCCATATGCATCTAGAGACTCAATAAATACAATTGCCTATGTTGTGCTTCTCATAAATTAAAATCCTCAAATGCATTTTAAACCAAGATGATATTTCCACATCATGCCTATTTAAAAGCAAATATAATAGATACTATTCCTGGTCATAAAGCCAGGCATGCCCCCTGCTCCACTCGAAAGGCAGCAGTCTAACCTCGCTTCCCTACCTCTAGTAAATGAGTGCTTCTTGGTTAAAACCAGAATGGGGAAAAAGTCACTTTTTTCCCTTATGCACCACTGAGAACAAGCATGATCCTCTAAATGTTTGTTTAAATTTCCTTACAGTGTTATTTCTTCTAGACATCTGAGTGAGTGGAGACATAAAAGTGATAAGGAAAACATTTTTCATCTTGAGCATCTTCCTCGGGCCCTAAAAGTCTCATCTGACACTTTGTGACATATGTAGTGGTGTCAGCATTTCTTCAAATATAGCTCCCTTCACGTTGGAACCTCTCAGGTTGGCTTCTTGAAGGTCACACCCAGAAAGGTCACAGTTCTGCAAGACAAAAACAATAACCGTGTAACTAATATAGAGATTTAAGGTTTTATCTGTTCCTTCTGAAAAATGATTCCTGGCCATGTTAGGAAAATGCTGCTATATCATAAAATTCAGTTATTTCTGGAAAACATCTGTTTTAGAAGAAAGTCAGATTTTCTGCTATTTCTATTTATTCTGTCTAGTTCACGCTCTGGCTGACCGCTACAAACACACACACACACACACACATGCACGTGCACACACACACAGGTTAACAAGGAAGCATGTCCCTCCTGATCACGTATTTTACCATCAGTCATTTAAAATCCAGAATAGGCTCCAAGGTAGTAAATATTATCTAAACAATTTTACCGCAATCCAAGAACAACAACAATGAAAGGCATAAGGTGGGGGGAGAGGGGTTATTTTTAAAACTCTGAGAGAAAAAAATTTTGCTTAATAATTAAATTGTGTAACAGATTTTTCCATTCCTCAACCCCAACATTTTTACAGCAAAGAATTGCCTTTTTTACCCCCTAAATTATGTGTACAATTCAATGAGTTTTAACACATTTATACAACAATGTAACCACCACCATCATTGCAAACTGCTTTTAATTTCTCTTGAGATTAAAGAGTAACAGATGAGACAGAGATTCTGAATAAATCCCTGGAGATGGTGGGGACAGAATGTCAGCAGCTGCCCCTCAAGAGTCAACCTGATTAGTCTTTGGAATCAGTTGGACAGAGGGAGGCTTCTGCTGTTTAACCACTGACTACATGGCATCTAAAATCAAGGAAAAAATCATCATCTTAGGTGAGAGTAACAAATAATAAAAAATTAAATAATGGTGCTTATATCTTTATTAAAATTAAATACGTTTATATCTTCAGCCTTAGGCTGGTTCTTTTGCTTGTAAGTTTAATAGGACCTGCTATTCTGCTGCTTAGAGCTATTAAGAGAACAAGGCAAAACATTTTTTAAAACATTAACAGCAAGCAAAATTTTGATGTACTGTTCTCTACAATCCAATCTATGCCAGATTTTCTTGTAGAGGGCTGTATACTGGTCAGTATACCAGCCACATGTAGGCAATATATTTAAATGAATTAAAATTTAATTTAAAATTTAAGAGAAACATCAGTGTGCGAGAGAAACGGCAATGGGTTGCTTCCTGTAAGTGCCCTGACTGGGGATAGAACCCGCAACTTGGGTATGTGTCCTGACCGGGAATCGAACCTGCAACCTTTTGGTATATGGGAGGAAACTCCAAGCAACTGAGCCACCGACCAGTGCTAACAGAAAGAAACTCTTTAAAAACTGGTGACTCACCTCTAAATCAGTTCCTGCCAGAGTTGCTCCTCTGAGGTTACAGTTCTTCAACTTTGCATTTTTTAAGGTAGCGACCCTCAGGTTAATTCCTGTCATTTGACTTCCTTCCATGTCCACGCCCTTTAGATTAGCACCTAGAGTGAACATATTTGGGCATTAGTTGAACTTGAAAATATTTATAGTCACCCACCTTCAATGAAACCACAAGATCTAAATGGAAAAGAATGATGACAGGCCTCTTTACCTTTTGAAAATGATTCTGAACTATAAATCTTAGCGTCTCGACCAACTTACATACACAGAGTCCTCTGTTAATGATGTGTTAGCTCATACTGTGAATTAAGAATGTTTTAGTCTTCGTTTTTGAGGGAGGGATTCAATTCGCTTTTAGGATAATTAGCACTTCTATAATATGCCTCCATAAGTTTATGACAAGGGAGATAAGTACTGTGTCTTCTAAATACACACATAAACAAGTGACCAGTGCATAGATACAAGAAAGCAGTAAGAAATTCATAAACAAAACATTAAACCTAAAAATGACAAAAACTACCTGGCTTTGTGTACTGAAATGCTTAATTTTGGTCAGTATAAAAATATGCTGTTCTGTTTGAAAGTTTAAGATGTTGATATTTAATTCTCAGCTGAGGCCTCATTAAGTGTTAGAGGCTGGATCTCCCCCTGCAGTCTCAATGTTGGTTAGCATATGACTGAGACCAAGGCATGACTGACTGATCCCTGAGCAAATGCTGCAAGCATGGTGACAGAGGAAATCTACCCCCTATGGTTATGTTTTATCTGTAACAATTACTTTGCTGGGCTTTTTACTTAATGGTATGTCTTCCCCTTAGAAAAAGTAATTATAGACAGAATCTCACCTTCTAAATTGGCTTTAAGACCCGAAGGATCTTCAAAATTACACTGTTTCAGGGATGCCCCTTCTGCATTAGAACACAGCATCTTGACTCCCTGGAGATTAGCACACTGGCAAAGAAAAGAGAAAAGTCCATGTCTTAAAGTTCAGAATTTTGTTTAGAAGAGAAAAAATTGGCTCAAACAGTTGTTAACCCAAAAAGTTTTAACTTCCATAGCTGAAAGTCTTTTTATGTTATTTTTTCATTGATTTAGGGAGAGGAAGGGAGGGTAAGAGAAAGAGAAACATAGATGTGAGAGAGAAACATCGATTAGTCACCCCTGCACACACCCTGACCCGGGATCAAACCTGCTAACTCAATACAAACTAAGAACTGTGTTAAGAGATAATTCTCCTAAAAGAACAATTTTTAAAGAAACAAAAGTCACGATAACAACAGCATGCACACTTCCCATGATACTTAAGAGTTTAGATGAAGTTGGGAAGTCAGAACTGTGATATACCTATTTCTTTTTTTATAAACAGCCCTGGGAATGCCAATCAGCAGTGTAAATGTATGGATAGGAAAGCATAAACTTGTTGGGAGTATGGATTTTTCTCTTCTTTATTACAGTAGCAATCAATCAGTGATATTCTAGATGTTCAATCATGCTATTACTACCTTCATTTCAATGGTCAGAACACTAAAGTCAGCAATTAAAGGCATCCTCTAGCTACAAATAAGTAACAAGTTGTAAATCGGGTCTTTTTGTACCAAACATTGCTACACAACATTGCTAACCTTAAGCACCCAAATCACAATGTAAAATACAGAGTAAAAAGCTAGAAAATGGATGTTAGAATTTTAAATTATGTCAATTTATCTCAAAGGGGTCAGTGCCATCAGATCTGAACTTTGACAACTACTAGATAAAGGAGGAAGCTATTTATAAGGGTGACATCTTAACATTAGGCCTTCACAAAATTATCACCATCAAAGTAGATATGTTAAAGTGTTTAAAATTGGTTAAGGTACTATATAAATAATTGTAGTTGTTATAGGTAGAGCAGTGAAGAAATCTAAAACCCTAAGGGTGATCGAGTTATAGCCATACCTACCAAGAAAAATCCTAGTTTCCTAAGTGCAATTTTATTTACCCTGTAGTCAGTTTTAGTGGAAGGAAGCTAAGCTACAGATTATTTAAAACCTCAGGTAATTGACAAATGCACAAGCATTCCCATCTCTACCTGCACATTAACACAAGTGAGCACAGAGCTCCAACTGACAGACAGGACAACGAGCACCCAGAAGGATGCAAATAACTAAAAGATAACTGGATTTTTTCGTATTTAAAAATATAACAAGACGAGAAGCTGATACATGAAAATAAATGTGTCTCTGGCTCTCTTTGTAATGCTCCCAGGTAAAACAGAATGTAAATATTATCAAAAGTTCCCAATTTAACTATGTAAATATAGTTCCATGATCATCAAGGTCCCTCCCAGCTCTTATGGTTCTGTAAGTCTTGGACTGGGAATATGGAATAGATACCTAACAGCTGGATCATTATACCAGCTTCTCTTCGTTAGGCTAAAGGTGGTAATGGCAGGTGGAGCAGGTAGGAGAAACAATCTAAAGCATGCTGACAGAGCAGGTGGTGTGGACTGCTTAACAGTGATGGCAGCTGACATCACCCTGGTGGCAGCAGAGCTTGATGGTTCCTATGAAATGTTTCACCACCCATAAGGGAGAAACTGGGTGAGAAGTTTAGTAAGAGTGGTGGAACCATTAGGTGCGACTTGTGTTGTGTAGTAAAGTGCTTAGCACACATTGTATTTTGTGGACACATCAATCCATGAGCTATTTATCAGCAGTCATCTTCAAATGCTAAGGACAATTAACAATTAGTTGTGACTTTCACAGCCTACACACTCTGGGCAGTGACTGTTCAACATAAGCCATTTTCATCATTAATAATTAAATTTACAATTTTAGAGCACATCAGTTTATTGAATATATATATATTTTTGACCTTCACATCAGTTATACCATATGGGTAGAAGTATTCGCAGATAAGAAAGTATGGATCAGTTTCATAGTTAGAAATACTGTAATTAAATAGAACTCAAAACAAATTGCACTGAATGATCCGAGCTGTTTTATCTTGTTCTTGTTTTTAAAAACCAACCACGCTGCCTCTTCACATTTCACTAGTTAAGGACTAGGTCCTTCAAACCTTTCCTTTGTGCTGTTTGTCGTTTGCTTATTTTGCTACCAGTTTGATCCTTCAGCATAAAACGAAACAAGGTAAGAAAAACTCCACAAATGTATGTTGGCAGACTCTGCTACTAGATCTGAAATAAGCCTCATGGAAAAATAGGTTGAAATTAAGGATTAAAACCAAAATTATAAAATTTAATAAACATTTATTCAGTGGCTACTAAAAGCAAGTTCTACATTAGGTACTGTTAATTCAAAAGACATATATAGACATGGGCCTTGGTATTAAGGAACTTAAAGTTGTTAGAAGTTAGTAAATTTCACTGTTGGTTCTACATGTATCATCTAACCCCAAATTAACACAGGTAATTTTTCCATACATACATGTATATACATACGCGCACACACACATCTATACATGACTACATGTAAATACATATACAAATATATGTAGAGAGAGCCAAAGTTATAAAACCAACCCATTTCATTTTCAGAGCCTTCAGTTTTATCAGTGTTTAAGTAAAAGCTTCAGTAAGAGACAGATGTAATTTCTGCTCTCTGAGCATGCTCAACAGACTAATAATTTAATTTTCTGTTGTAACCAAAAATGATTCTTACGTCAAGCACTGATCCAGAGAGATCAGCTCGTTCAAGATTTGCACAGCAGAGATTAGCATGTGCAAGATTGCAGCGGCTTAAATTGGCCATCTTGAAGTTAATGTATCGAAGGTCCAAACGAGAAAGATCAGCACCACTAAAGTTTAAACCCTGAAATTAAAAAACACAAATTGTCATCATATTTAAACCATCTGTTGCATTAAACTTAATTACTCTAGCTAACCATCAAGTTTTTTAGAACCAACTGGTGGTTCAGTTATTTGGAGTTTATTACAAAACACAATCAAATGGAACTTGGATATATAAAATCAGTGTCCAGGATGGGTTCTGGTAAAAGAAACTGTTTACATTTAAATTAGAATGCAGTCTGGCTATTCCTCCTTTATGTGCAGAAGTTTCTAAAGAGGGACCTCTGTTAGCCTCATACCTGTTGACAAGTATTATTATTGTTAAACCTAATTATATTTAAATTATTTTATTAATTCAATAATTCAAGATAGTTTCATTTTTGAAAAGCGAATATTATGGTTTTTTAAACTTTAATGCTACAAAACATAAATGTAAAAGTATCTGCCACTGACTAGCCATATATAACTGTACAAACAATTGACATTTTATTTTAACTGCTGAAATTTCTATGCATTACTCAAAAACTTCTATGTGAGGTATAATTGGACAATAAAAAAGGCTATTCTACATCTCTTTTTTGCTACTTTGGGATAACATCAATGCTGTGGCCCATAATTAAATTATATCTTGCATGAAAAAGAAAATGAAGCAAAAAAAAATTCTGGAAGAATGTAAAATGTCACTCACAGATGTGCTGACACAAATAACTTATGTAAAAAGTCTGTTTTAATTACCTGGCAACGCAATTCTGATTTGGTTGGAGTGGCTAGCAGAAATCGGACAAATTCCTTTCGAGAAATTGGTGAATGATCCTCTGGTGGTTGAGAATTCTTGAAAAGAGATATTAAGAAATTAGTGGAGCATTCTGGGAGACAGCTATCACAAATGAAATACTGGCTAGTATTAAAAAAAGCCTTACCTTTATTGCCACTTCTAGCTGTTCAATCAGTGAGTCAATACCGAAAAATCTGGCTTCTTCTAACACACCTATCATAATAAAAATGATTTGACTTTGATAGAAAACTTCATTTTAATATTTACACAATTCTTTATGTTAAATTCTCACAAAAGAAGTGAAATTCAACAAGTAGGTTATCAATCAATATAGAAAAAAATAACTCTTGTTTAAAACATAATAGGATATTTAAAAATATTTGTAAAACAAAGTAGTTTACATTCAGCAAAAGAAAAAAGAAAGAAAAACTATGAAAGAGAATGAAAGGCTTCCATATTTCAAAATCATTTCTAAAAATTACTTTGAAGAAGCCACAGGCAAAAAATCCTAATACCACATATTCCTCAAATAATTGATAAGTGGTTTGATTGTGAATCCAATGAAAAATAATTAGTTCACCTAATCTTAACATTTCATTGACCCTTTCCAGTGGAGCAGATCCGAATGGGTTTGTCACAAATATCTTATACTTGGTGAATTAGGAAATTATAAAAAGTAAACTTCAAAGCAAAGTCAAAAGTATAAGTCAGAAACTTTTCTTATAGGAGAATCAATTTTTAAAAAGATTTTTAAAAGATAAAAGGGGTTTGATCTATCATTTTTTTTTACTTTGGTAAAAAAAATTTGTACATTCTCTTAGTGACTTATTATATACTTTCTCACATCTGTTAATAAACATTTTCATCAGAGTTTGTGGGAATAAACTGGGATCCACTGTCCTTAAAATGAAGACTTCTGTAGGCTGAGCTTACTTTTTAAAAAAGGAGCCAGGAATTACAAAGGTAGTAAGAGGTGTAATCCCTCTCTTCAAATGGTTCTAAGCTGAGAAGGGTGACTATATGTAGATATAGAAAACCACAGCAGTTTTCTGGGAAAAGATTACAATCTTTTCTGGGAAAACCCAATTCCACCTCCAGTATTCCAATTCAAAACAAAGGCCATCTGAGGACCAGCACAGAGCTCAGGCAGCCACTCTGGCACATTTTCTGTCCACACCAGAGCTGCTTCGTCTCTAGATTCCTCATGAAGGGCCAGCCACACTTCAATGTCTATCCCTTGGTAGACACCCAGCAAAAGAGACTCTGTGGGGACTCACTCTCAGTTTGTCAAGATTTTATGAGTAAATCAGAGCCTCCCAGGGAGTGTGGTAAGAATGTTTTTCTAATTCTAGGTTCAGAACTAACCCTTAAAAACTTCCAGAAAAACCTTAGAAAATATAAGACACCACGAGGGAAGGTCGAGGGAAAGGATATAATATTTAGTGTGTTTTCTGTTAGCACCAATAAGACCCTGATTTGATCCCAGCTCTGTCACTATGACTTTTGTCTTGGAGAAGCTACTTAATCTTTCTTAACTAAAGCTTCCACATTTGTGAAATGGGGAAAGTTGTCAGAAATATTAAAAGAGATAATGCACACTTATTATCTGGTATAATGCCTGGCACCTACCTGGCAGGCAAGTCCTCAATAAATGATTATTTATGATTAAATTATATGTTTTAAATTATTATTAAATTATAGGTTTTATAATATTGAAGACCATTCTTTTTTTCTATATCAAACTGGGTTTCAGAAAATTCATGTTAGCTTTAGGGAAATAGATAATGAAATGCTAGAAAGATCTCAAGTTAGAATAACTGAGGTGAGATTTAGCGAAGAAGATTATTAAGTCAGGGAAAGAGTGTTTTGAAGACAAATGAAAGAAGGAAAAGGAAGACATGATTCACTGGAAAAAGTGAAGATCATTAAAGGCAGGGAACAAAAGGAAATGATGAAGGCAAACAAAGAAACTACTGATGAGAGCATAAATTAAGAGCAAGAAATAGGTTCTTAAGTGGGAAGAAGATGAATAAGTCATTATAGGTTATTTTAACGCATGTAATTACTCGAGGGGCAACTTGTAGCCAACGTAAAGAGTTTGGAGGGAAATTGTACTAAATAAAAACAATGCTACATAAAATGAGTCAGGAGGGAGCTCTGTTTTCTGAAAAACTAAATTAAAAAGAGCATTGGCAGAGAAACATGAAAGAGGAGAAACAAGCACAGCTTGGTAATAGCCTACGTTGCTGAAATCAGAGACAGCAGGAAGAATATGAAATGCTATCAATGATACAAGGAGAAATTAAAACAGGAAGCTTAAAAGAGCCCATAGAACATCTAAAGCTGAGGTTTAAAATGTAATCAGGAGAGGGTGGCCGTTAGAGTGAAAAGCAGCAGAGTGGCACAGTTGCTAAAAGGGAAAGGTTTGGTAAAAAAGTAGATCACTGGTTATTTTTATAATAATAATAATTTTTGCAGACTGGCTAAAATAAAAACATTTTACAACACGAATTGTAAGCTAGCGGCCTCTCCCACCCCCCCAGGCTGATTCTGATGGGTTTAAATGCAATGTTTTAAAAATCAGGTTTTACATAAAATTTTACATTTCCAGGTTTTCTTTAGAAAATCAAGTAACAAGTTACCAAGCAAGTGAAAACATAATAAAAATGATAAACTTACAAAACTGTGAGGAATTATATTGAGAACTCACCCAGTAAGTTAATGCCATCATTTACAATGAGCTGTCCGTGACGCAAGTAGTTCAAAATGGGTTCAAAGTACTCAGGACTTCGGTCAATTAAGAAAGCTCCTCTATGATCTTGTTTGTTTCCCCAGACACCTATTTCCATTAAAATGAAGAAAGTCCCCCATAATAAAAAAACAGAGTTAGAAATTTATGGAAGAAAAATTTTGTAACACACCAGTAAGTTTTCTCTTTTGTAAAAATTGGTATCATTAAAAAGTAAAGAAGAACAAAAGCTATAAAGTCAATACAGCTCCAAACAGATCACACAAAGTGTGAAAACCATGAGTGGCACTCACCTTTGTCCTTAAACATGTGGGCCAGCATACTGTCAGGCTCTTTATTCACTAAAGTGCTCCTAAGAATTCAGGGAAAAAAATTGATTTCTCCATTTGTCTTATAAACAAACATATTTAAGTCAAGAGTATACTCGATCCCAGCTGCTCTCTCAAAAAGATGCATGCTATAACCTGGTAGGGGTGATGCTGGGAAACAAAAACGTGCAATAAGTTGCCATTTATCAAAATCCCTTCTAATCTGGCACTTCCTTTGATTTACATATTGTTTTAGTTTCCTTTATTTAAAAACTATCCATCTAGCAAGATATATCACAATATCCTTGATCTAAATATATTTTCCTATGCCTTTAATATAAGCAGTTGTAATCTCTATAAGTTTCAATATTAATTTTTACTTGCAGTGCATATGTATTATTGAATATCTAAAAAGCATGTTCTAAAACACTAAATTCATGCTTTTTCATGCTTTCCTGGAATGACCTGTGGATCATTTTCCTTCTCTTTTCTTTAAAAGAAGCTTTCTAAAATATGGTTTCTGATAAGAGTATATTTATTTAAGCAGCATTTCAGTATCTTCTAAGGAAATCAGCAAACTGAAGAAAAGAACAAATGATATACAGTGCCCCCTGACACACAGGTACAAACATGCACACGCACCTACCGTGTAGTTGTGAAGTACCGCCCTCCAACATTTAATGTAAGCCAGTCTGTGTGAGACCCTGACAACCCTTCAGGTAGCTTGGAATCTGTCTGAGGATCTAGAGAGGACATGTAGAAAATAATAAATATATTTAACTGGGGATTTGGGGAAGAAGGCAATAGCATGATTTTTAAAACTTTCTGAAATGTGCCAGAAAGAAATGCCCATAGAATAGATTAAAAAATACAACCTAATATTCCAAAACACGATAAAAGAAATGAATAATACAAGGTATAAAAGAATAACAAAAACCAGAATTAAAATTCAGAAATAAGGTGAGAGAACTCAGGAGACAATTGGAAATAAAAATAAAAATTTTAGAAATGAAGATTAAACTAGAAGACACACAGGAGTAAATAAACACACAGATAATGCCTTAAGGAAAATAAAAGATGCAAAAGAGGAAAGCTTAAAAATAAAAAATAAATAAAGAAATGAAAAAGATTTAATAAAAAATTTCAAATATATTAGGTAAATGGCATGGCCAGTGTTGCTAAGTGGGTGAACATTGGCCCATGAACCTGGAGATCAGGGTTCGATTCCCGGTCAGCGTACATGATTAGTGGGGGGCATGTAGGAGGCAGCAGATCAGTGACTCTTTCTCATCATTGATGTTTATATCTCTCTCTTCCTCTCCCTTACTCTCTCTGAAATCAATAAAAAACATGTAAAAATAAATAAGATCTGAATATTACCACAAAATACTTTTTAATGTTAAGCCATGTACAATATGTCATTTCACCTTTTTTATTTTGGCAGACAAACTTGGCTTTTAAGGAAGTCACTTACCAATGAATGGTTCTCCTTCACACACAAATAAAACATCATCGTCCCTGGGGGATATCAAAATTTAAAAAGGCACCATCAAAATCCAGAAATCACATTAATTATCTGTTGAATATAGGAACTGTTCCTTAGAATTGTGTAGAAGACAGGTTTTGCTATCAATCTATATTGCAAAATTGACTATATAAGTTTCCAGTGCTTTCTTTGTTTAACATCCCCTCTCTCCTCCAACTTAACTGTCCTTGGATTTAAATTCAAGTATGATCAGACACATGAAAGTACTTTTGAAATGGAAAGCAAACAAATAAAACAAAACCCACTATACAGATTATTAAAATAAGATTTTTTTTCAACTGAAGAATGTACTGTTACATTCAAAGGATATGATTAAAGGCATAGCCAACTCTTTTTTTTTTTTTACTTTAATTCTGTAACCCTAAATAAATTACTGGGTTTTCTCCCATTTCATTAGCTGAGTTGTGCTTTGGCAATGAAAATAAATGTTCATATTGAGTTTAGGAAGACTATAATGGGAAGTAACTACAGTAAACACTCACCTACTATGCACCCAGCACCCTCCCAAACGTAAAAGACTGCACATAATTCACAGTCCTGGATTTTCAGTGATACCCTCCTCCCCTGTCCGACCCATCCCACATTCCTGGAGGTAATTATCAGGCTGTTCTGTGAAGCACCTATTATTAACAGGTATACACTGCACAGTTCAGATGGCCTCTGACCTTCTATGTTGCAGAAGTTTTTATTTCCTATAAAACATCACAGGGACACACTGAATTTTTCTTAGAAGCAAAGTCTGTGCTTTTTAAGAAATTTAGGTTGATGTAAATCATTCAACAGTGTGACTCATTTATGCATAAAAACTGAAAGAATCTGGAAGATATTGAAAAACTAAGAAATTCTCCTACTTTATTTGGATTTTAAATCTGTATCTTTTAAATTTATCATTTCTTCTACTTGCTCACCATGCCAGTAAACAAATTATGAAAATTTGTTTTCTTATCTTTAACAAAAATCAACTAGTAACTGTATGACCTGGATAAGTTATTTTTCTCAGATGTTTAGTTTCTTCATTTATAAAATGACGGGACTATAAGTTTTTGACTTCAAAGGCAGTATATTATATTGAAAGGTCATTCTGGCCTGGACTTAAATGAAAATTAAGCCTTGTACACTATTATAATATAGAGCATCATTATTTTCACTCCATCAATTTTTTTTTTTTTAATCTTCACCGGAGGATATGCTTATTGACTTGAGACAGAGAAAAAGGGAGAAAGAGAGCGAGAGAAACATCTATGTGACAGAGAACATGGACTGGGTGCCTTCCGTATGTGCCCTGACTGGGGATTGAACTCACAACCCAGGTATGGGCCCAGGAATTGAATCTACAACCTTTTGGTGTATGGGATGACGTTCCAACCAACTGAGCCACACCGGCCAGGGCTCACTCCATCAATTGTTTAAAAAACCTCATGCTTTGCCAGTGAAATGAGATAACATGGGTAAAGCAAATACAACATAACGGGCACATTGTCGGTAATTTTTGTTCCCTTTCCATCTTTGTTAAGTCTCAAAATTCTATGATCCTATGAGGATTGGATGAGGTAAACTAGATACTTGTTTTAGAGAGAGAATTCTGCCAGGGATATTTAAAAAACAAAACCAAAAAACAAACAAACCAAAAACCACTATTGTGGTGGATCACTGATGAGTTAACTCTGCTTAGCAAGTTTTCACCAAAGTAGTGAATATTTATAATTTGTAAATATTTGTAATATATATAAAACTCAAAGCATTCTTAGAAAAATCAATTGAACAATAAGCAATAGCATATAAAATTAAAGAGATCAATTAGATTTCTAACACTAAAAAATGCATGTCTTATTAGATCCATTTCTAGTACATAAAGAAATTCCTCACAGCCATATATGAATCATGCAGAAAGACTATTAATATATTGGAAGGTACTGAGGATTTTCTATCTGATCAATACATCCTAAGTTCAAATGATTTAAATTCCAAAGAGCAAATACTAGGCAATCATTTGCCAAAATCCTGAACTCTTTAACAGTGATTAAACCATTGCGTCAGGGAAATAGCATAGCACCAAGAAACTAAGAGCTCAGAGTGGAAAGCTTATAAAAAGGTGAAACTTACCTGATCAAAGCAATATCATCAATCAGTCCACCTTTCCCGTTATACACACTAGTGGCTTTTATGCCAAGTTTACTGCTGGCCACAGAAAGCAAATCAGATAAAGTGCCATATACAGCAACCACCTGTAAAACACACCAGATTAATGAGATAATGAATTTGCATAATAAATTTCATCACTCATAAATTATAAATCATCACACTATAAACAGGACTAAAAATTAGATTATCATGTAAAAGGAGATTTTGAGAGGTTCTTAAGAGTGTTCCTTTTTCTTCTATGACTCAATTATTTACTTAGTGCCTAATATTGCTGAAATCTAAAACTAGAGTATCAGAAATTGTCTCTGACTAAAAACAATCTACAATCTTAAGGTATGCTGAATAATGCTCCAGTTCTGCAGACCCCCACTTGAATTTAGATTCTGACATTTCCAGCTGCCTGTCGACTTGAGACAAATTATTTAACCTCTTTATGCTTCTGATGCTTTACCTAGAAGTGAAGAAAATTGTCGCATGCACACCAGAAGGTTGTCATGAGTGTGAAACGAGCTAATGCATGGTAAGAGCTTAGCAAAGCGTCTGAGACTTACTCAGTCTTTATGATGTTTTTACATTATTCTTGTGTTATAGGCATGGTTTATTTTTAAAATAGGAAAGATTTATTGCTGTTTATTATAACATTTATTACATCAACTACCATATGAAAGGTAACAACTTCCCACCTCATTTAATTCTTCAATAACTACTTACTTTATAAAAGCCAGACTCTAGCCAACATTCTAAATACGGCAAGCAGCTGGGTTTGATCTATCCAGCTGAACCGACCTGTCCTGCTTTCAATCAGGCAGTCTGATGCGTGTGCGAGGTATATGCCATTGCTTAGGTAGGCGGTTGAAAATCTCTACATCAAGTGAATTTCTTGCTCTAGTCTTAATTGTAACTCTGGGTTCCCAGTGGCTGAGTTGTACATTATCAGTTAGGATCTCTGAACGTTACGAATAAAAAGTAGGTAAGGAGCTGAACGTGAAGCATTTACGGCCAGTCGATTTCCCACAGGATATTGGATACATGTGCCATGTGAAATGCGACCCGGGCTGGTCCTTTGTTCACCAGTGACTGGAGTATAGTACACACTGAATTTTTGGTTACATAAATGGAGTGACCAGCAGGGTGTAGAGGGAGTTGTTTGCTAATCTAGGAGAGTGTGATCTCCCAATAGCAGAGTGCTCAGATTCCAGCTGCTTTCTCTTGTATCATAAGGATAAAAAGCCAGAGAAGTGTTGCAAGCTGAGGCGTTTTGGGGAAGGGTTGTAGGCAAGCACTATTTAAAGGGGACTAGGTGGATTATTAAAATAATGCACAACCCAAGTGTCCATAAACAGGTGAATGGGTAAAGAGCATGTGGTATATACATACCGTGGAACATCATTCAGCCATAAACAGAAATGATATTCTGGTAATACTACAACATGGGTCAATCTTGAAAACATTATGCTAAGTGAAATAAACCAGACAGTAAAAGGACAAACACTGTATGATTCCACTTATATGAGGTAATTAGAACAGGCAAATTCATAGAGACAAAGTAGAATACAGGTTACCAGGGCGGAGAGGGAAATGGAGAGTCACTGCTTAATCGGTACAGAGCTTCTGCTTGGGGTGATGAAAATAAATAGTGGACGGAAATAAATAGTGGTGAGGTTATACACATTGTGAATGTACTTAATACTGATGAATTATACACCTAAAAATGGCCAAAATGTTAGCTTTTGTATTATATTTTTCCACAATAAAAAGTAATCCAAAGCACTTGGCAGTGTCTTGCACATAGCAGACATACCATAAATATGAAAGCTTGAATGAAATGTGTCCCCCATATTTCCTATCATTTTTCACATCTGTAACTGAGCCTGGAAATCTAATCTTTACTGCAGATACATGTTCCTGGGAGAAAAGGAAGAGAAATAAAGTGCATAAGGCATGTGTGCAGGGTGTGAAGAAAGAAAACAGAAAAAATAGTAAAAAAATGCAAAGGAGCAAGAGATTGACCAAAGGAAATGCAAACCAACTTTTACAGTTTGGAAAGTGCTATGGGTGGGAGGTAAGAAAATCCTTTTAACATTAACATCCTGTCTTAGCTGGTATTATAATACTAAGAATTTTCTAGATAGGAGAAAGAGAAAGACCTATTTATCTCTGCTTCTTGTACATTTCTGCATGGCTTTATTCAGCCTGACATTATCCCCTCCTTACCCTAACATCAACTTTCTCTTCAAGCATTTCTTTTCTCTTCTTTCTCAAAAGGCCGTATCACAAAATGGATGCAAATTTCATGCATCTGTATATATAAATGCACTTGCATTTAATTTAAATATTAGAACATATATGACTTATTTTTCAAAACTACAAAATTAAATTGTTTTCTATTTCTATATGATTGATTTATTTTTTCCTGTGGGTCAGTTGTCTCCTAATGAGAATAAAGGCCACCTACCTGCTCTAAAAATTTGGAAGCCACTAGCTACAAGAGGCTATTTAAATTTTAACCTATTAAAATTAATTAAAAGCTAAAAGTCAGTTGATTTGTCACACTAGCCATATTTCAGTGCTCAAAAGCCACATTAGCTAGTGGTTATTATGTTAAGCAGTGCAGATATGGAATCTTTCCACCATCACAGAGACTTCTATTGGACAGTGCTATTCCAAAGAGCAGAGTAAAATGAACAGAGAAATACCTATTTTAATTCTGTTAGGCTTGACCATGCCATAGCAGTGCACAGCACCAAAGTGGCAGAACCTGTTTGTTTTATATTGGAGGGCTGAGTAACTGCCATCTTTCCTTCCTTCCCCACTGAAGTCAAATTTAATTATAAGATAGGAAAAAACCATATACAGAGTTCTGCGATTCTCAGGGCAATCAAAGCACAATAGGAGTTTCCTTGTAGGTTGCAAAACTACTCAGGAACACATTCTAGGTATCAACTGAGTTTAACTTTTATTTCATTATCACTTAAATCAGCTCTACTATATTATCAAACACAGTTTAGCATTTGACTAAAATATTTTCTGATCTGACTTTCTGTCTGTACGTATGTACATATGTATGAATATTCATGGAGCACCGTTAATTTAATAGCAAGCTATAAAGAAAATAAACAACTCAAATGTGCATTGATAGGATAATGGATAAACTGTGGCAGTATATTTATATATATTTATACAAAGAAGTGAAATGAGTAAACTATCACTACATGGGGCACTATGGATGGAATCGTAGAAACATTATATTGGCCCAGCCAGTGTGGCTCAGCGATTGAGCATTGACCCAGGACCCAGGAGATTGGGGTTCGATTCCCAGTCAGGGCACGTGCCCAGGTTTTGGGCTCGATCTCTAGCACTGGGCGTGCAGCAGGCAGCGGATCAATGACTCTCTCGTTATTGATGTTTCTCTCTCCCCCCTCCCTTCCTCTCTCTGAAATCAATACAAATATATTTTAAAAAAAAGGAAACATTGAATGAAAAAAGCAAGTCCAAAAAGACTACATGCAATGAAATACCAATTTAGAATATATGTCACAAAGATGACGAACAAAAAATATATAGTTTAGTTATATATACGTAAGTGGCAAAACTATTTAAAAAAACATGGCAGAGAGAAATATAAAATTCATGAAAATGGGAGAGGCAGCGGGGAAGGAAAGTGGATGAGCACATTAAGTTATTGGTAAAAAGCTATTTCCTGGATTGTGTGGCAGGCTTACTGAAATTTGTTATATATTGGCCTTTTCATTTTTATGCATATTAATATTCTTTATTATTATTTTACACGTATTGAATATATTTTAAAACCATTTAACTTGAAGAGCAAGCCCTCGCAAGTTTCTTATTAATGTTTAGACTTCAGTAGGCAAAGGTTCACATAGATTTTCACCTTTCTTCAACTCTAACAATGGGTTCAAATCTGGACATTTCATATCAACAACATACTTATGACCTAATAACAAAGCCAGAAGACAATTATTTCCCAGACCAAGACTGTAAACATCAGTACAGAATTAAGATCTGTTTCATATTCCACTAAGCCTGCAGCCTGGCACGGTTCCTCATACAAAGAGGGCACTCCATTAGTGTCGGCTGAATGAATGTCTCCAAAAGGCCTGTGCTCATGACTGAATATTCTGCACTTATGCTCAAGATATACAGAAGTTCTGAACTGACACCAGCTTGCTCAGAAGCCACTTGCTACATTCAGACATGTAAGTCCTCATTTCAATTTCCTTAATGCCAACTATTAGAGGGAATATTAAAAAGAGGACAGTGGGAATTCTGAGCAAATGGAGAAAGGATGAGAGGCTCAAGCATAACTGACTCTTGGAGCAATTTAAAAAAAATTCAAATAATATGATTTCTAAACAACACGAGGACTCTTTATTGACTGCAGACTCTAGTCAGCCAGTAAAAGTCTAAATATCAATAAATTTAGTGAAATTTTGCCAAATACAAAATTGACTTTAAATATATATATATTTTTTAAAAAGAAATAAAGAAGTTCTGAAATTGTCTGTCTTCATGTGCTGGAAAATATTTTTAAATGTCTTGCTAATTGGGATGACCTCATCCTATCATTGGATAATAATTTCAAAGAAAAATAGTATAAACTTAGAGAGCATTTATTATTAATAGCGGTTATTAAATAAGAGTTTATATAGTCTTCTTCAAAATTTGGCACTTTTTGACTTCTCAGATCCAAAGAGATCCACTATTTTGTAAAAATCTCATAGTTTATATCAGAACAAGGGGCAACTCTGCCATTTTCTCATTGCTTATTTGTGCTTGCAGGATTGGTATACTCTTCAATCTGCAGCTTCTCTAAAGAAATCTTTTAAAGCCACTTGGCATTTTGGTATGGGTTAATTTAGTTAAAAACTAATGTGAATCTTAACCTGGTCCTTGTAAGCTTCCACACATCACAACATGCTAAAGTGAACCAACCCAGTGAAGAAGTTGCCCATGTGAACACACCCCCATCTCCCAGAAGACTTGGGACTAGCTGAGACATTTGGTGGCTGAAAGCATCTGTGTCTTTTTGGAATGGGAAAAACACACACCAAGTTTTAGCATTACTTTATATTTTTAAGAAAAAATAAATCGAAGGTATAACATTTCTCCTTGAACTCCACTGGATTGTCTTGTATGTCTGTCGCATGCCATCTCATCGGGGGAAAGCAGTTTTAGAGATTACACAGCCTTCCCTTCCACATCAAAACGTCCACTAGTTACACTTGTTTATTCACTAATTACACAGGAAAGTCATGTGAGCACATGTGTCCCCTGCAGTGACTCTGTACTTTCCAACCCCAGGCTTCATGGCCCTCTCTGGCAACCACTGAAAAAGTTTTACAGGGCATTAACTTATTTGAAAAAAATACATTCTTATGAGCAGGAAACAAAAATACGAGCTAGGTAAATAAGGAGATCATGGGAGTGACACAGATATCCCAACTGGTGGATGGGAAAATCAAACTCTATTTTGTAGTAATGCTTTTTTCTCAGCATGTTCATGAACATTATGTCATTGTTATGCCATTCTGGCTAAATACAGTCAATTTATTTATATAAAAATTAAAAATGCAATCTGTTGTGTACTATTCTGCTCTTTTGTCAAATAAAGTAATTTTAATACTATTTTTTAATCAGCTGAAGTGAGAGGAGAGGAAACCTTGACAAGTTTGGCATAGAGTATGTTTTCCAGTTGAGTAGTAAAGATTATGGCATGATTTATTTTTAATATTGACTCATACTAATATTTTCCAGTTTGGGTTTCTATGATCTTTTTTAACATAAACATTTATCTTTAATTATTTGAGATGTGTTTTTCCAATCTTCTGAGATTCTCTAGCAAAATCTTTTTAAAGCAAATAAAATTTAAATCCAAAATCTAATGCAGTCAAAACTAGACAGCTTAAAATTTTTATTAAAGATAATATGGCAAGACTAACACAGCCAATCTTTGACAAGAACAAAATTCAGTGGTTTCAGAAGAAATTTACGGCATAGTTAAATATTTATGCCTGATTCTAAACATCTTGTCTTTCATGGAATAACACAGCAGATATTGGATGAAAAGGTCAGTCAGAGGTCTGCTTTTGAGAACATAGAACTGTAACTTTGGATATACTAAATCTTTCTCCCAGTAACCACGTAAGTTTTAGAGTGTAGCTAGTAACAGACAAAACAGGTTGAGAAAAAGTTAATAATGGTCAGAAATAATGTAAATCTTGGGAAGCATCTTTTGAGGCAGCATTCATGAAAACTCAGAAACTTGAACTTATGCCAGTTCCGTATTATACATGGGTATTAAATCTCTAAGACCAGAACACAAAATTAGAGTCAACAAACCACACTGTGGTTCAGGCTTTTAAAGAACACTTACTCAAAACTGCAGAATATGTTGGAAAATCATCTTTTATACCGTGGCACAATTACACTATTTAGAAACTGACAGTGTTTCCAAAATAAGCAGCAAAGTATTCTGGCAACTAAACAGTGAGGCCAGTTTACCTTTACCTTTGATTCTAAGGCTTAGTCACTTCTAAATGTCATTTAGCCACATGAATGTCTGCCTTGAACAGTCAAATTTTCCAAAGCAGTCGAACAACTTTCACGGGTGGGGCAAGAGCTGAGAAGGAAAAAGATTCATTTTGGCTTGCTCTGGCGTTGGAAAAATATTTAGTACCACACCCTCAACAAAGGCCTAACACAGAAAGGAGTAAGGGTCAAATCAGTCCCTTTTGGGCCTATTGTCACAGTCCCCTAAGGAACTAAAATCAGGAGAGATAAAAGAGTACAGAACTTTGGCGGGGGGTGGGACTTGGGGCACCTAAGAGAGGGAACCATCAAGAAAATGCCCCTAATTTTCGATCCTCTCTATTCGGCCTAGGATAGAAGACTATTTCACTTATCCGCTGATAGAGTTTACATTGTTTCCATCCGATCAATCTTGCATGCCTTAGTTGTTACCACCACTGTCTGGAGCGGACCATCAGTGGGGACGAAGGTGGGAAGACGCGCCTTCTCTAGCCAGGGGTGGTGGGCAGGGGGTCCTCCGGGAGGAGGTGGGAAGAGGAGCGTCTGTACCTAGCGCTCAGGTGACAGCGGCCCTCCCATGCCCTCCGTTCTCCCCGCCCCACACCTGGACTTGGGAACGATTCAGCACAAACCGAACCTGCGCTAGTCCCCAGGACGGCTGGGGAGTCCAAGGGCAGGCTCGAGGTAGGAATCTGGAGGCCGCGGGGACCCGACCTTCACGTCCCGGGCACCCCCCATCCGGGTGCACGCCCACCTCCCAGCCCCGGTCCCCAAACTTCAGCCCCCTGCCCTGCGAGCCCGCTCCGCACTCCGCTGCCCTCGCCGCCCGCAGCCCGGCCCGCCTCGCCTCCTCCCGACCCCCTTACCTTTCCATTCTTGGGGCTGCCGTTAAGGAACAGGGTCACCCGCCTCATCGCGCTGCCCCCACTGGGTCCTGATCCTGAGTGAGTCGCCACCCTCCCACCTGGCTCTCTTCCCACCTTCTTCTTCTCCCGCCCTTCCCCTCCCTCCACCCACTCGGACTCTCCTCCCTTCGCCACCTTCCTTCCCGTAGAGACACACACACGCACACTCTGGATCCCGCACCCCACGGTTGGCCGGTCCTCCTGCCCACCCCGCCCCGCGGCTCCGCAGCCAGTCTGGGGCCCTTCCCCCAACCTCCCCCAGAGTGACTCTAAGCTGGACCAATCATCCGGCAGCGCCGGTCAGCACTCCGCCAATCATCACCCTGTATTGGGTGGGCTCATACTAACTCCGCCCCGGTGATGGGAGGAAAGAGAGGCTGCTGTGTGGCAGGGAAAGGTTATCAGCCAATCAGAGCAGAACTTGGAGCCCAACCGCGGCTCTAAGCGTTATTGAGCAGGCGCAAACCCAGCACCAGGTAGATCTCATCTGCATACGGAGGTGGGGTTTGAGGGAAGCCAAGCGCTAGAAGTGACTCCGGTCCGTCAGCACCTCCGGCTCTAACCCCTCCCATCGCTCAACCCGCAGAGGAAACGGCTGCCGTCGGAGCTGGCTGATTGGGTTAGAACCAGCCCGTCTTTCTGTCTTGATTGGTCCAGTCGTTCTTTTCGAAGTTTACAGCATCCAATCGAAAGGCCGGGGGGGCGGATCGAAGAGCTAACCGAAGGATTCCTCCGCGAGACTCTCAGGGTAAGTAGTCCCCACGGACGCGGGTTAGCCGCATTCTCCTCGGCGAGTCGCCCGCAGCGAGCGGTCGCTTCTCTCCGACCTCACGAACCACTCGTGTTCCTGGGACGGCGAGGTAGAGGCCTGGGAGGTTTCGGGGTGCGCGCGGACACGTGCGGGTGGCGGCGTAGAGATTCGTAGAGCCACGTCGGTGTGCTGAGGCCGCGGGCGATTTGAATCCGGCGGCGGGCGGCGGCCGCGCGGAGCTGAAGTGGAGGCTCCGCGGGCGGCGTGTCGGGGTAGTCGGTGGCCGGGACCAGGCAGTTCCCCCGGCTCCTGGCTCTCGAGCGAACCCTTCAGGAGGAAAGAGCCGAGGTTTAGAAGGCAAGACAGCCACGACACTCGTGTGCGGCGGGGCGGAGCGTTGCGTTCAAAATAAACCGAAGCGGGAGGAGAGCCAGGCTGCGGGAGCGCGAGGTAGGGCAGGTGTCCTGGTTTGGATTTCGGGCCGATCACGGAAGTGCTGTTTCTCATAAGTGTCTTCTGCTTATCCTGCCCCACGGAGATCGTGGCTCTCCTGCGACCTGGGCTGGATCACCCGTGTGCTGTTCAAAATGCAGATTCCCGGGGCCCAGCCCCACCTCCTGAATTAGACTTCCTGGGAATCCGCAAGCTGGGCCTTTAGCAGGGTACCCAGGTGATGCAGGTGTTTGCTAAGATTGAAAAGCCATGGCTCATAGCAGCGCTTTTCCAACTTTTTCATCTCACGGCACACAAATTAATGACTAAAATTCTACAGCACACCACGAAATATATTTTTTGCTGATCTGACCAAAAAAGGTATAATTTTGATTCATTCACACCGGACGGCTATGGTTGTGTTGGCTGTTGTCATTTTTTTAAACTTGACAATCTAAGGGAAAAGAGGTCAGTGCCCCTGACTAAATTGTCAGGTACTGCATGTTTTAAAAATTCTTGGCAGCACACTGGTTGAAAATCGCTGGCTTTGTAGTATGGGGCCTGGCTTTGTTTTATCTCGAACAGCAGCGTCTTCCATTTCCCTCTAATTTGAGTTCCAAAAGTACTCTCCCTACCGATTTCCTTACCAGTGTAGATTGTGTCAGAATTCAGTCTTGAAGGAGGGTCTTCATCGAATCACATTAATCTGGAGAATGGGGTTATTTTTCTTTTTCCTTTCCTCTCTTTTTTAGATGGATACCAATTCAAAAGACCCCGAGTCCCCTGAAACCAAAGAGTCTGCTATTAATGCTGGTATGTAGTGATCTGTGGCCTCCTTGTGAAATTTAAGATTTAGGTATTTGTCTTCATAATGATGCTTAGCCTCCTCAACGTGTTGTCTGTTTCAGAAAACCCCTCTTTCACTTTGGGAAGTGAGAATCTTGTAACATCTCAGAAGCATGCAGCTGAAGTGACTCCTAATCCTTCCACACCAGAGAATTTTAAGTCACCTTTGGACTTTTCCACAGTAACTGTAGAGCAGTTGGGAATTACATCTGAAAGCTTTGTAAAGAACTCTTCAGGTAAGAGAAGTTGTTACTCTACTGCAGTGCTTTTAACGTTTAAAAATAGCTTTAATATAACTCAACTTTGTTCACCTATCCTGTGTATCTTATTACTTTACATATCTAAATTGATTGACTCTGAAAACTTGCTTGATCAGAGAAAGTTCTGTGAACATGCACAGTTCATCCAGCAGAGCGGGAGACCAGGGTCCCAGGCCACCCAGCGTGATGATGTTCCTAAGTCGGAGTTGTCCTTCATGCCCAAACTGGAAAAGAATGTGTGTGTGAATCACTTTTTGACCCAACACATGGGATACAGGAGTGTGTGTACTATAAATAGTAAGATGTTTTGTGGTCACATGGCAAAAATAAGAAATTTGAAGAGCAATTAAAAAAAATATTACATTGAAGGATTGGAGTTTGCTTCTTTCAAAACCACAAACAGAAAATTGGCTCAAACTAATCTTCAAGGAGTAGAAATGAAATTCCACTGTGAAGTCTGACTTAGATGAAGGAGAAATATGGGAGAGGTATTAGATTTGAGAACAGCATTTAGAAATGGAAGGTAATGGGGGAGGTGAAAGTCAAAGGGGGAGGCCACAGATCACTACATACCAGCATTAATAGCAGACTCTTTGGTTTCAGGGGACTTGGGGTCTTTTGAATTGGTATCCATCTGAAAAAGAGAGGAAAGGAAAAAGAAAAATAACCCCATTCCCCAGACTAATGTGATTCTAGTGCCCTTACCTGATGGAGGAAAGACTAAAGTGGCAGGCTGGTCCATGTTTTCTTCTCAAGAACATCACTTTTAGACCTGTAAAAATCTAGATTTATTTTGTGTGCTTAGGCATATGGCCAGAATTCAGGGTAGTGTGCCAAAAGTAGATAGGTATCTAAGAGAAACACCTTACCTTGAAGAATCGAGAATAGGAAAGTACCTGTGGCTAGGTGGAGATCTTTCCTTTCAGTCCATGGGGATTAAACTGGCAAATTCAGAAAAAAGAAGTCTTATTCCAAAGCAAGTCATCACCCCCTCTGTGTGCAGAAAATAGGAAACAAAACAGAACTATTAATTATAAATATGTTCATACGTTCATTCCACACAACTATATTTAATAAATACCTTTTGTATACCAGGTACTGTTCCAGGAACATGGAATAAATCAATGGACAAAACAAAGATTTCTATCCAACTGATCATGTATGAGCAATTTTGCCTGTAATTCTCTACTTAGATTTCTGTACCATGTGTCTATCATGACTCTCAGATTGGTACATCACAGATCTTCAGGACGTGATTACTGATGATTGCCTTGTTTTGTTCCAATTTAAAAGAGAGTTTTCATTATAGGAAAGTCATCATCCTACCTTAAAAAATCCAGACGACGCTCTACAGTTGGTGTTCGGGGCTCTCCTGAAACAAACAATCTGATTCGGTTCATTGCTCAGCAACGGAATTTAAAGAATGCAGAGAACTGTCCTTTGACACAGAATTTCCCTTTTCTGGTATGATTTTTCTTTTAAGTTCTGACATGAATTCTAGGGAGAATGTTTTGCTGATTTACAAAGCTTTTGTAAAGTGTTTCTCCCTATTTTGGATCTAGAGAGGTGGTATTTTCTCTGTCAGAGTGTGCAGTTAGTGTAAATGGTGATGTTGAGCATGGATATACGGGGGGGGAGCAAAGATAGGTTTATAGTTCATATGGAAAATAATACAATAATTAATAAATAATGATACAAGAACAAAACTGTTTCTTAACTGTAAATTACTTTTGCCCACCCCTGTATTAAGTTATATGATTTGAGATAGAAATGGCTTTCTATTTTATTTTGCAAATTCTTTTCTAGTTAATGTCTTTTTCTGTAGTGAAGTGAGACAGTGTTTTCCAACCCTTTTCTTTTGATAGCTTATCTCTAAGTATGTATTTTTTTGTGACTGCTATGTGTTGACATATAGGGCAAGAGTTCCCCCAGGACAAAATGTATTTGGGATAGCCTGTGGAAGGGAACAACTTATTTGTCTGCTGATAGGGAACTTTTTAGGTATTTTTGCAGGTTTTAAGTAGAATAATACAGGCCCCTGTAAGTCAAATAGTAGTATAAGTCTTGCTGTGAAAGACACAGTCCCCAGTTATCCTTCTTGAAGAACAGCTGCTTTTGACTCGTGTGGTATTGGCCTTCCTATTTTAAAATGTACTTCCATTGCCATTTATTTTTCAATGTTAGACAGCGTGTATGCATGAGGCCATATAGTGCAGTGCAGTGGTTCTCAAAGGTTACCTGCAGATCCCTGGGGATCCCTGAGTTCCATTCAAGATGTCAAAACTATTTTTTCCTGTTAGCCCTAAGATGCTATTTGCCTTTTTCACTGTGTTGATGTTTATGTCTATGGTGTAAAAACAGTGCTGGGTAAAACTGATGTCACCAAGCCATCATTTTATTCATCACTGACGAGCATTCACAAGAAATGGTAATAATGCCAGTTTCACTTAACATACTTGATGAAGCAATACAAATTATACATTTTATTAATTCTCAACCCTTGAATATTACGGGCAGTGAAATGGGAAGTATGCATCAAGTACTTCCAGAGTACATACAGAAGTGTGAATGTTTTGAGAAAAACTGAGTGTGATTGTTTGAGCTGCGAGCTGAACTAACCATTTTTCACAGAACGTAATTTTTACTTGAAAGAATGACTGATAGGCATCATCAGAGCAGGAAATGTGGCTGACATTTTTTCAAAAATGAATGCCAAATAAAGGAAAAAATGAGATATTTCTTACCAATAAAATTTTTAAGTTTTCAAGACGAAATTAGAATTTCAGAAAAAAATTCACCACCATTAGCTTGATAACTTCCTGGTAGGTATACTTTTCTGATAGATCAATGAGGATATTAATGAAGGTGATGTTTTGATATTGCATAGCAAAAGGTGTCAACATTTGGAAATCTGCATAGGTGAAGAACCCGTATTTTTTAAATGACCAGTGCATGCAAAATATACCCTCAAATTGCAAGATAGACCCATGGAAATTTTTTTAAGATTTTTTATTGATTTTCAGAAAGAGAGGAAGGAACAGGGAGGGAGGTAAGGAGGGACAGAGAGAGAGAGAGAGAAAGAGAAACAAACAAAACATGGACGTGAAAGTGAAACGTGGATTGGCTGCCTACTGCAAGCCCCCCACCAGGGATGGAGCCCGCAACCCAGACATCTGCCCTGGCGGGAAATCAAACCAGCAACCTCATAAAGCCCAACCAACTAAGTCACACTGGCCAGGTTGACCCAGGGATTTTAACATAAGAGAATATGAGAAGTTTATTGATAATGATTTTATATTTGACATTGCAACAAACCTTTAAGAAATCTTTGTTAAGTTTTGGGTTGCATTAAAGAAGAATATCCACAATTCTGGAAAGGCTATTAAAATACTCTTGATAGGTACAACCAACATGAACTAAGTGTTTTGGACTGCATTAAAGTAGAATATCCACAATTCTTGAAAGGCGATTAAAATACTCTTGATAGATACAACCAACATGAACTAAGTTTTTGGTGTTTTCAATCATTTTTAAGAGTGTAAAGACTTCTGAGAACTACTGTTAGAATAGATATGAATATGTGCTGTGGAGCTACAGTGTGGGGTTTGGTTCTTGGCTTTATTATTGTGACTTTTAAATTCTCTGTGTCAGTTTCCTCATGTATAAAATTATTTTCTGTTGTTACTGCTATAATAGTAGGTTTTTATGAGGATGAATAAATTAATAGGTATGAAATACTCACAACTGTGCCTGGAATATGGTGTGCTTTAGATTTACTATCGTTATTTCTGTGAGAAATGAAGATTTTGCTTTCTCACATTTCCTAACCATAGCTATCCCATTTCTTCCAATATAGTTAATTACAATTTTTTTGTTTAAATTAGGGTTTATCATGCATATTTAACCATGTAGACATTTTTTACAGGCTGCTATGTAGTATGTTATGATCATAGTCCTGTTTTGCATAATTTTTGTTTTTCCTGTAGGTTACTATTTACTTTGTTTGTTCTTTTTTTTTTTTTTAAATATACCTTTGATTTCAGAGAGAGGAAGGGAAGGGGAGAGAGAGAAACATCAGTGAGGAGAGAGTCGTCATTGATTGGCTGCNTAAATATACCTTTGATTTCAGAGAGAGGAAGGGAGGGGGAGAGAGAGAAACATCAGTGAGGAGAGAGTCGTCATTGATTGGCTGCTTCCTGCACGCCCCCGATTGGGGATTGAGCTGGCAACCCAAGCATGTGCCCTGACTGGGAATCGAACCACGATCTCCTGGATCCTAGGTCAATGCTCAACTGCTGAGCCATGCCCAGTTGGGCTGTTTAGTCTTTTAATTTATCCCCAATTAAATCCCCGTGACTTATAACTGGAAATTTGGACCTCTTAACTCTTCTTCACTTTTTTTGCCCTTCCCACAAACCCTTCCCTTCTGGCAACCATGAGTTTGATCTCAGCTTCCATGAGTCTGTTTCTGCTTTGTTTTGTTTGTTTGTTTGCTTTTTTTTTTAAACTCCACTTATAAGTGAAATAATACGGTATTTGTTCTTCTCTTAATTCATTTAACATAATACTCTCTAGGTCCATCCGTGCTGTTCCAAATGACAAGGTTTCATTCTTTTTTATGGCTGAATAACATTCCACTGTGCGTGCATGCGTGCGTGCGTGTGTGTGTGTGTGTGTAGGTTGTTCACATATTTGGCTATTGTAACTAATACTNGTGCGTGCGTGCGTGTGTGTGTGTGTAGGTTGTTCACATATTTGGCTATTGTAACTAATACTTCAATGAACATAGGGGTGTGTATATCTTTCGAATTAGTGTTTTTGTTTTCTTTGATAACCGCAAAAGTGGAATTGTGGGTTTATATGGTAGCTCTGTTTCTATTAATTTTTTGAGGAAACTCCGTAGCGTTTCCAGAGTGGCTGTGCCAACTTTCCATTTCGCCAACAGTGCAAGATGGTTTTTCCCTTCTCTCTACATCCTCATCAACACTTGTTATTTGTTGTCTTTTTAATAATAGACAGGTGTGAGGTGATATCTCATTATGGTTTTGATTTGCATTTCCCTGATGATTAGTCATGCTGAATGCCTTTTTGTGTATCTGTTTATTTTCTTTGGAAAACTATCTATTGAGATCTTCCGCCCGTTTTTTTGTTTGTTGTTTTGCAATTGAGTTGTATGAGTTTTTTATATATTTTTGATGTTAACCTCTTATCACATATAGATTTGCAAATATTTTCTCCCATTTGGTAGGTTGCCTTTTCATTTCACTGATGTGTATTTGCTTTGTGGAACCTTTTTTAGTTTGATGTAGTCCCACTTGTTTATTTTTTATGTTGTTGCCAAATCAAAACTGTCTGCCAAGACTGATGTCAAGGAGCTCACCGCCTATATTTTCTCTAGGAGTTTTATGGTTTCACATTTTACATTCAAGCCTTTAATCCATTTTGAGTTAAGTTTTGTATATGGTGGAAGATAGTGGTCCATTTTCATTCTTTTGCATGTGGCCGTTCATTTTTCCCAGCACCTTTTATTGAAGAAACTGTCCTTTCTCCTTTGTATGTTCTTTGCTTCATTGTCATAAATTGATCATATATCCCTGGGTTTACTTCTGGGTTCTCTGTTCTTGTTTTATCGATCTTTGTGTTTGTTTTTGTGCCAGTATCATACTGTTTTAATTACTATAGCTTTGTAATATAGTTTGAAGTTAGGGAGTATGATGCCTCCAGCTTTCTTCTCTCTTAAGATTACTTTGACTATTCAGGATCTTTTGTAGTTTCATACAAATTTTATGAATGTTCTATTTCTGTAGTGAATGCAATTGGAATCTTGATGGGGATCGTATTGAATCTATAGATTGCTTTGGGTACTACGGACATTTTAGCAGTATTAATTCTCTCAATCCATGGGCACAAAATATCTTTCCACTTATTTGTGTCTTCATCAATTTCTTAAAATTTTCAGTGTGCAGGTCTTTCATGTCCTTGGTTAAATTTGTTCCTAGGTTTTTGTATGTTTTTTTTGATGCAATTGTAAATGCAATTGTTTTTTAATTTCTCTTTCAGAAAGTTTGTTGTTATATAGAAATGCAACAGATTTTTGTTTAATATGCCATTTGCAAATAGGGACAGTTTTATTTCTTCCTTTCTAATTGCTTCAGCAAATGAAGCACAGAAAGAATGACCAGTGGCACAGGAAGAAAATCAGGTTAGTGGGGCAGTCCAGAAACCAAGTGAAGAGAGTGTTTCAAAGAGGGAGTGGTCAAATACATCAAAAACTGAGGAAAGGGGAAAAAACCTGAGGAAAGGTTGGGTAAGATGCAAATTTAGATTTTATCTTTGTCTTGGACATTTGGGATGAACGATGACAAGAATATTTTCAATGGGGTGGTAAAAACAAAAGTCTAATTGGAATAGCTAGCAGTAGTGGAGAGGATAGGAGGGAAGAAGTGGAGACAGGGCAAACTATTCAAGTTTTGCTAGATGAATAGGCACAGAAAAGGGTCACCATGTAGGTCTAAGAAGAGTTAGAGATATCAAGGTTTGTTTGTGCTAACAGAAAATAATGCCAAAGGAAAGGAGCATAAGATAACTGCAGAAGAAAAACCAGATCACAACAACATACATGGTCATAATAATGTGAACATTTGAATACTGATGTAACCAATCTACTGGGAAGTTGTACAGGATCGAAGTACATATGTGTATGTATGATAATAGGTATGAGGAAAAAAGAGGGCTAGATTTGCATCATCCATAGTGGGAAGTCAATAGCTAATGCTTCAACACTGAAAGATTAAGAAGTAGCAATTAAGCAAGAAAAATATTGCTGGTTCCAGCTCTTTTTTAATTTTCCCCTCAAAAATACTTAATTGTCCCAGGGTTCTACTCTGCCCCCTTTTCTTTGGTTTCCTTATGCAGTCTAATTTATGGCTTTGAACGTCTATAGACACATGACTCTAAAATGTCCAGTGTTGACCCAGAGCTCCCTGGAGCTCCAGGCCCAGATACCCAGTTGCTGTTCAACTTCTCTACTTGGGTTTTATAAATAAGATTTCAAGCATTACATGGTCCCAACCAAATTACAGATTTCTATTCCTTATCAGATCCTCCCCTTCGCCATGTCACTATGTCTATCATTATCCAGTTACTTAGTCCCAGTTACCTGTCAGTATTCCTTGGTTCCTTTCTTCTTCATCTTACATATCCAGCCCATCATTATTATATGTCAAAAATCTATCTGCAGTTCCTCATGTCCCCACAGCTCACTTCATGCCTGCCTAGGTCACCAACTACTTTCCTAATTGCTAATTTCACTCTAACTTGTCCCTAATTCATTCACCATTTCACAGAGCAGTCAGGTCGTTCCCTCTGCTGCTTAAAATGGCTTCCTGTTATGACTTGACTGAAACCCAAACCCCTCTTGAAGCCTTTATCACATCACGCCTCTGATCGGAGCCTTGCCCACCACTAGCCTCATCTCCCTATCTCCTTTCATCTCTGAGCACCCTTGGTCTTCTTTCTGCTACATCCTATTTCAGTCTGGGCCTTTGCTTTTGTTCTACCTTGTTCTTGTAGAATGTCTCCCTCCCCCAATATCTTTCTCATTGTTTTGGTTTCAACTCAAATATTCCTTCAGATAGAGGACTGTTCTGATTCAAGCTAGGAAGCCCTTTTAGTTACTGAATCACCATTCCTTTTTATCTTCTCAATAGCACCACTTGTACTTAAAACTAAATGTGTTTTCAGAATTTTACTCTAGAACGTAACGTCCCCCCTTCACCCTCAGCCCCTGGAACAGTTTCCGGCATGTGGAAAAGGTTGTTCACTGACATAATTTATAAGACAAAAGCATCAAAAAAGAAGTCCATTTTGAATGTTTCATTTACTTTGTAAGTTATTCTCCATCAGGAAAAAGCAGTTTTGACTGAGGGAACCTAAAATTTGTTTTAAGCAGCATTTCAAAGTGCTCCAGATTCCTAGGATACTGAACCTACCCCTACCATGCTCAAATATGAGTACCAAAAAAGCATATTTGAGGTAAATTTAGGACTGTGGGATAACCCCTTTCTCTATATCTCATATAGATTAGAGTTGACCACCAGCTTTTCATGAATGCTGTTTATGTCATAAGGGTTTATGTCATCAGTCATTGGAATATTTAAATGTTCTGTTATTATGTAACAGAGTTTGCTTTCTGAATGTATTTAACTGGGAATAGAATCAAGTGTGTGAGCAGATTTACCATCAAACATGGCTTCAAGATTTTAACTGATTCTCCTCCATACAATATCTTAAAGGGAGGTATTTTTTTACTTTAACTTTTGCCTATTGGTATAATTTTGTTAATTGCCACAAGCTCCAAAGCAGTGGAAATATGTTGTTAGTCTAAAAAAGAGGGGGGACGACGGGGTGGAGATCCTGCATAGAGAACATAACCAGTAGTTTGTTTTATGGGTAAACAGAACTCTTAAATTGTACATTACTTGCATTTATCTGGGACTTCTGTCTCTGCTGCTATCAGTTTCATTTTGTGCATCTTTGGCTGAAACCCTGTTAGAGTTTGCAGAGAATTGTGCGTAGACCGTCTAACTATTTGGCTTTGTATTTTAAGTCAGTGGCTGGCTTTCAGCTCTAAGGAGGTAGGGTCCATGAAATGAAAAAAAGTTAGCTGGGGAAGCCATAGAAGAGGGTCAATTTGAGAGTGGGTATCTGAGCTACTTGGGAAAACCTGTGTGTTGTTCTGGCCTACTAGGGAGAGGGTGTGTATGAATGAAAATGAGTAATGGGACTAGTTTGGATTGAACCTAGTGGCAAAGGCATCATGCAGATGATTTTTGATGGATGTTTTAAATAATTAGTTAGCCCTTAAATAATTGGTGATATGTTTTGTCTGGGTTCCTCTTTAAAGCATTTTCTGCCTACTCCAGACTTCTCTTACCTGATCCATAGACTCGTTAGTATCATTATTGACCAGCCCATAGCTACACATGTATACATACCACACAGCTATTCCTCTTTGTGCAGGTTTTGCTAAAAACTGGGGGAGGAGCAGAGGGAGAAACTAAGATGATGGCAGCACACTGAATATTCAGACTGAAAATGTGTGATTTAAGGGAGAAGATGCCCTGCTACACTAATTTACCACCTCTGGTCTTCCAAAAGCCTTTGTATTTAGTTTTAGATTTAATAATATTTTGGCCTAAAATATAGAAACTGTGTTTGATTTGATTTATAATACCCTCTATGTCTCTGTATTTTAACAGGGCAGCCCTGTACTGTATCGAAATGTCAGTTCCTTAAGAGAGCGAATTTCTGCCTTCCAGTCAGCTTTTCAATCTGTAAAGGAAAAGGAAAAAATTACTGACCGTCCTGAATTCTCAGAGGCAGAGGGAGAGTTCGAGACAACAGGCTTGAGTGAGTAGAAAAAATTCAATCAGCTTGGACTTCTGTATGTATTCAGACAAGCCTCTGAGATATAAAAAAAGATTTAGTTCCACAGTGCAAAAGCGGTCTTTCTGAGCAGAGTTGTTTTTTTAAATGGAGCCTAACATTTAAAATTTGGGACGTTTCACACAAAAACCTGAATTTCTGGTTTTTCTTGAAAAAACCTGATGTCAAGCATTTCTGAGCCTCCATTTCCACATGGTCACAGTTAAGTTTTAGGTAAAACTGTCAGAGCTGATTAGCTCATTTCATCTTGAGGATAGTCCATGTGGCAAATTTGAGTGTACAAATCTTGATTTTTAGAGGATTATTATTAAGTTTGGCAAGCATTTATATGAATACCAAACACCCATCCCTGATTTTTTTTTTCACTTTTGATTTTTCCAATCATTAAGCATTTCAAATATCAGAATTAGATGAATCAATCTCTGCCTGATCTGTAATCATCATAATCATACCTCTAGTACTCTACACCCTAAGTAAGGTTCCAGATGATTTTGTTTTGGCTTCTTGAACCATCCTTCAAGTAATTTCAACACCTCCTTGCGTGAGTGCACTCAAGACAAGTTTAATTCATCTATCTCTGTTAGTGCATGACCCACTTTCATCTACTCATTTGTATTTGTAGTTTGTAACTTATAAACTATAAATTTTTGTAATTTTTATCTGGATCTTAAAATGTTTTATTAACATGATTATTATATTTCTGCAAAGAATAAAATGTATTTTTCATAGCTAAGAACTGGGGCACATTGTGGCTGTATTTTTCATAAAATCATACACAGAGCAGAATCAATATTAGAACATAACCACATCCTTTGAAATGTTCAAAAGAATAAGTTTCAATATAAATTTAAAAATAGAATGAGATACTTTATCACCAATGCAAAAGTATTTTAGCATATCTTTCTACATTTTATAGTCTGAAAAAACTTAATTCTAAGTAAATTTGCATTATCTTTTTAGTAGTCATGTTCTCTTGCCTTTCCATTAGCATTTCTTTTTTGAATTAAAAATTGTACTAGATTTTCCTTTTCATTGCTAAAGTCTTTAGACTCGAGCATTAATTAAATTGTACTAAAATTATGGTGTACGTAATTATAAAATGATATTGTAAAATAAAATACTCATGCCTGTTACTTTGTTTTTATTTTGTTTTGTATATATAGCCAAGAAGGAAAGCCTTGGTGAATGTCAGCAGTCTGCGTTTCCTGCACAGTTATCCAAACGTCAGAGAATATCTTCTCAGAGCAACTCTGATGAAAATATAACTAATGCAATTGACCTCCAGATGTTCAATGTTGCTGCTCCTTCCAGTACGGACAGAACATGCGCTGTTGAAACTTCTCTTGTAGATCTTTCTGAGGTAGTTCACATATTGGAAACAAGAAAATGAAGCTTTGATTTCCTGGCAAGGCAGTTTTAAGACTGTTGTGATCCTTTTTTTCAGTTAGAGTACCTGGTACTGCTTGCTATATTGTAGCTGCGTTTCAGATTATGTGCGGGTGTATATTTCGTACTTAATAATTTGTGTTGTTAGTTGGCTTATTAGTTGTTAGAGACAGGTTTTTTTAAAAGCCTTTTGAAAAAGTCTTTATAAAAAGATTAAGCAGTGTGGTCTAATGCTTGTGAGGCATTGTTGAAGATGTTGATGGTACAACAGAATCACAGTCCTGTCCTTAAGCAGCTTTTTGTCTGCCAAAGGAGGCTGGCATTTGAGTGTATTACTTACACATCAATCACTGGTACTCCTCAGGTCTGTGGGTCTTGGCAGTTCTGCCTTGCTGCTTCTGTTTTTGTTTTGCAAGGAATGATTTTATTTTATTTATTTATTTTTTAATTGAATTTATTGGGGTGATATTGGTGTTGCTAGAAAGGGGACCTGGTCCTGAGCTGGTCTGCTTAGGACAGGGTAGTGTGTGGATTTTTTTTTTAATCCTCACCGAAGGATTTTTTTCCCATTGCTTTTCAGAGAGAGTGGGAGGGAGAGAGGGAAAAACATTGATGTGAGAGAGACACATTGATTGGTTGCCTCCCACACATGCCCTGACCACGGCCAGGGATCGAGTCTGCAACTGAGGTATTGTGCCCTTGGCCAGAATCGAACTCGTAATCCTTCATTCCACAGGCCGACGCTCTAACCAGTGAGCCAGACTGGCTAGGGCAGTGTGTGGGTTCTTGACTTCATGCAGGAAAGATTTTACAATACAAGTCCAGGTGATTTTTAAAGGGTGTTTACTAAAGCTGGCAACAGAAAAACAAGGAAGAGCCTAGGACAGAAGAAGTAGCAGGAGAAGGGACTAGGTGGGGAAATGAGCCTAGGCTGAGCTGCTTTGGCTCATTAAGAAGTCAGAGAAAAGAGGACCTTGATCACAGGGTCAGGGGTTTAGCCCCGAACACTACCCATTGCTCCCTGGTTGCAAGTCTCTTGGAGACCCTTAGAGTTTAGCAGTACGTACCTGTGGGGGAAGAAGGAAGGGAGAGGGAAAGGTGTGGGGTGTGCTCCTGGGAGGGACAGCACACACTCTAAATAATTGCTATTTAGCAATTGCTCCTTTGCTCTGCTTACTTGCCTCAAAGAACTATAGGGATTTTTGTTGCTGGTAACTTAAGCCTGTTAAGATTATCAAAAAAGTAACCTGAATTGAATAATACTATCGAATGTCCTTGACCTTCACACAGATGTAAACAGGGAGCTAGTTCTCTCCTGAGTGACTTCCTGTTTCATACTGTTAGTTTTGGTTTTATACAACAGGTTCCCATTTCTTCAGTGAGAAGAGACACCTAACGCTATTAGAATTGAAACCTTTTTTCTGTCCTAGTGATTTTATTTAGACTGGTATAAATGTTTGATAGCCAATTAAAGATTCTTCAGGATCCAGTAGGTTTCATTTGTATCTCAGAATCACTTATAATCTCTACTCCCTCCACCTTATTCTAATATGAAATCATTGTCTGACAAAATGGATAATAATTGTTTCTTATCAAAACTTTGATTGATTGTACACACGCTGTGATTGAGAAATGGCTTCTACATCAATATGAGTGTGTTTTGTATCCTAACCGTTAATGCTTTTCTTATCCTAGCTGTTGATACTTTTGTTGTATCAATACAACAAAACATTAGTAATTATAAAACATTTAGTAATTATAAAACATTTTAATTAGTAATTATAAAACATTTTCTGTTGTTTGGAGAATTTCCTCTTTAATGAATATAGTTAGCATAGTTTCTAGACTTCAAACAACAAGGCAACAAAAATGTGTCCTGTAAAGTTTTCCTAGGAAACTAAATATTGTTTGGTAGGATATTTAGGATGCATTTAGAATGAATATTTTGCTTTTAGTTAGATTTTCCTATACTTTTGTGACTAAATAATGAAGGTGATAAAATCAGTAGATAAAATTGCCTATTGATTGATTTAACATTAGATTTCTAGGTCCTGCTTATTCAAACATTATGAAGATAACAGTAATTCTGTATTTAATAAGATTTGGTACTTTTTCATTTTAAACTTTTTCCCCCAAGAAATTTTCTGGACCTGGTTTGACACAGTCTGAATGTTTAGTTGAAGAATCTATTCCATTTTCTGAGTGCACAGGGGCTTCAGCTGGTAAGTGCTTAATTTTTCCTTAGTATACATGCCAGTTCACCCATTGAAACATCTGATCAGTACCCATTTATAGTTGGTTTACCTACATGCTAAAACAGTGCCCTACATTTTAAGAGCTCTTAGTCTAGTAGAAATGTTTCAGAATTCTTTTTATTTGAGAGAGGACCTTGTCGTCTTTGAATTAGTGAAATATTTCCAAGCTGATAAAATGTATTATAAAGACTAGGATCTCTAAACATAGTAACAGGTATATTTTGTTAGAGAAAACACTATACGATTGTTTTGTTTTGTTTTGTTTTAAGGTTCTGGGAAAAGGGACCAGGATTCAAAATTTATTTAGCCTTTTCCAAAATCATTGTGCTTGTATTGAATGAAAGTCACTAGTAAAATATTAGGTTTACTTTCAACCTACCTGTGTCTCTCTTTAAAGTAAAACTCTTGCATTGTTGTTTGGTGTGTTTTTTTTAATCCATTTGAGATTCTCTTCCTTTTAATTGGAATATTTGGCACATTAACCTCAGGTCATTAGTGATATGACTTGATTTAAATCTACCATTTTATCATACGTTTTCTGTTCTCTTCATCTTTTTTTCCTTTGTTTCCCTCTTCATGTCTTTTTTAGGTTTATTTGAATTTTTTTTGTTTTTAAGAAATCTACTTTCTTGCTGCCTTTTAAACTATACTTTATTGCATCATTTTTTAAAACTTGACTTTAGAGATTGCAACATGCATCCTTTCACAGCCTCCTTGGAGTTAATATACGATTTAATGTAAAATGTAGAAACTTTGCAAACTGTATAGATCTATTTTTTCTCTACCCACTCATGTCTTTTATGGTCCTTTACACTATTGATATCTTCTATATTACATTTATACTCATTTTAAACCCCATAAGATATTTTTTCCTTCTAGCAATCATGTATTTGGGGGATATAGCTTTTTATAGCCATCTAGACACAATTTCTGATACTCCTCATTCCTTCCAGTATTATTTCCCTTCAACATGAAAAACTTCCTTTAGCCTTTTTTATAGCATACATCTGCTCTGACTTCTTGATTTTAATCATACAGTAGACAGATGAGACACAGAGCTGGGTTATGAGCTTGTTACCTACGTGAAATAAGATGCCTTTGTCTTCAGCATTTTGTACCAATATTTTTGCTGCACTCTCATAGGACTTTGTCTTAGGAGTGACATATTCTTTGACAGTAGTTATAGAATGTATGAAGTATGGTCATTAAAAACTATCATCATACCAGACACCTCCCTATACAGCAGGAGCCCAACATACTCCACTTTAGCAACTCACTAGGCCCTAAACAGAAATACTATATAAGATAGAGAAAGAAGTCTACCACAGATGTGGGGCCTTGATTAAAAGAGCCTACTTCTGATTTCAGTGTTTTAAACTGGTTATCTGGTGGCATCCCAGAGGTTATTATGTTTCAGACATACAGCTTTAGGAAGACTGAAAAGATCTTGTAAAGTGGGATAAAATGTGCTTTGTTCAGGGAGAGCTTGGAGAGGAGAGAGCCCACATGATATCACCATTATCTCCCTTGTCCTCTCCACTTTGCCCTTTTTACCTATTGAGCCAGAAATCCAACTCTCCTCCTCTGTTCCTCTCCTAGATATATATCTGTGCTTAATATTTTGTATGTTGATATCCTCACCAAATTTATCAAATCATGTGGGCCTTTAGCACTTCTTGTAAGTTTCCTTGCCTTTTTCCTTTTTTTTTTTTAATTCAGTTTGTATTTATAAGATAAATCAGGTAGGTCCCCCTACTCATTTCCATCAGATAATGCCTAGATTATTTCCTGAAGTTAGAGTCATCTGGAAAAACAAGATTGTCAAGTTAAATCACAAGTCATTTTCCATAAAAAGATTTTCACCAGCAGTCTACCAGTTGGATTTGCACAAAGCACCCTGGAGTTAGAAAAGAAAAAAAAGACCCTGGCTCAGTTGGTTAGAGTGTTAGCCAAGGTGTGAGTTCGATACCCAGTCAGGACACATATAAGAAACATCCAATGAATGCATAAGTAAGTTGTACAACAAATCAGTGCCTGGCTCTCTGTCTCTCTCTCTCTGTCTAAAAAAAATCAATAAGTAAAAATTTAAAAAGAGTGGGGTTTTTTGGCTCCACAGTCAACTCCTTGACCAAGAATGCCTCGATCTTTTGTGTGGATAGGTGAAGTACCCCTGTGTGCATTTTAATTTGGTAGCCTCTCAGATTATCTTCTGACCTAACTCCATTCAATCAAATGCCAGAATCCAAGTGAAAGGGAGGTTATTATAAAGAACAAGGCAAACCGAAGCTGCATCACTGCTTTGTGTAGACAAGAGGCATTTCCACATTGTGACCTTAGTGCAGCAGCAAGTTGTAAGAAAGGGAAAATGAAGGGTGACAAGACAGATGCACCTTAAAATACTTTGGGGGTGAAACGATTCACTTGGTTGCAGCATTGGTCAGGTGATGTCAGCTTCTAATACACCTGAAGACGTCAGTCAGGGTTACATATGTTGGCAACATATGAGCCAGGAAGCCATGTAAAGGGTAGGAAGAACAGTGAAGTTGTGAGACTTCTCAGGATTCATCCAATTGAGCAAATTGGGAATATATGAACAAGTGTCAGTTCCAGCAGTCTAGCTATGGAGTGGAAGAGCTGGTTAGCTCATAAATTCCTGTCTGTTTGATGTTCGTAATCTATTTTTACCCTCAGACTGCTGGCTTAGGTGAGACCCGTTACAACCATGTGGTGTTTTAGCACTTTCATTTGAAGTGTTCAGAGCCAGTAATTTACTTAGTCCTAAATAATAATATCTTTTGCATGTAGAATTGTTTATTTAGAAACTAGTTTCTATTTTATTTTTTTTGCATAACATACCAGCGATGCTCACCAGTCCATGGGTGAAGCAATATTTGAAGTAATGGTCTATATGCAGTATCCACAGATAGAAGGATAGATTTTTTTTAAATGTGGCACATCAGTATCCTCCTACTGAGGCATTTCACTTCTGGATATTATCCACATAAGAAGCATCCAAACCATTCAAGTTTAGGAATCTCTTGTCAATCACATTGCTGTGTTATCTCTACAGAAGAGATGCAGTCTTTCTGCTGCAGCCTCTAGCACAGTGCCGTCATGGAGCAGTAATTCTGTAGTTACCAGTCTCCCTCATGCTTCTGTGATAGTGATGTCTTCCATTTCTTTTCTCTCTCATGACTGATTGTTCTTTTTCAGTTTATTTCCATTTTCTTTATTTCATAAAAATTGGGTTTTAGATGACCAGGTTATTATGAAAGGATGTAACTCAGGAGCAGCTAGATGGAAGAGGTGTGTACAAAGAAGGGGCTCAGAGCTTCATGCCCTCTCCAAGTGCTCCACTCTTTCTGAATGTCCACCTGTTCACCCACCCAGAAGCTGCTCCTCCCATTCTTGCTTGGTCCAGCTCCAAACAGGCCTCTGTAACAGCCTCCTCACTGCCATCCCAGGTGTCATTCTCAATACATTCCTCCTCTTGAGGCCTCACAAGCATTACAGGCAGAGCTGGTCGTGTCCTTTGAGAGGCGGTTCCTTCACTGGGCATCAGGACATCATCATCTCGTGTTTTCCCCTATTTCACGGACCATTTCTTTGTGTATTTTCCTTGTTCCTCCTCTTCCATTCTGACCTTTAAAACATTTGAATGCCCTGGGTTCAGTGCTTGGATTTTTTTTCTTTCTAAACTCACTCCCTAAGTGATTGCAGGCATTTTCACGACATTAAATACTGCCTATGTGCTCTTGACTTCAAATTCTAACTATCTCCCCCTGGCCTCTTCCCAGAACTCTAAACTTAAGTGCCCAGCTGCCTTTCCTGATCTCCACATGGGTGTCTAATAAACATCAGACTTAATGTACTCAAATGGGTCTTGATTATTTTTCTTCCCCCAGCCTGCTCATCTCTATTTTCTTCATCTCAGTAAATGATACTACCATTCACCCAATTGCTTGTGCCAAAAACCTTGCAGTTGTCTTGACACTTCCCTTTTTCAAGTTCAACTTCCAGCCCCACTGGCAAATGCTGTTTGGCCTTCAACATATTTCAGATGTCTAACCACTTCTCACCTCCTAACTACTGTCAGTGTGTATCCGGCTACATCTTCTCTTGCCTGGAAATCTTAAGTGATTTCCCTGTTTCTACCGTCACTCTGTCCTTTTCTTAGTCTTGTTCACTGTGGCCAGGGTGCTACTTTAAAATGCAAGCCACACTATGTCATTCCCATTTCTTAAAACCTTTCACTGGCTTCCCAGCCTACTTAGAATAGTAACTAGTGTACTTTCTGTTAGACCTCACCTGACCTAGTCCTTATAAGCTCTTCTGGTTCATTCTGTTGCAGTCACACTGGCCTTGCCCCTCCCTCTAATACGCCAGATATTCCTATCTCAGGTCTTTGCACTTGGCTTTGTGCATGTGATGCTTCTCCCTAGATGTGTGCACGGCTTACTTGCACTTTATTTAGATGCCTGCCCAGGAAGTTTCCCTTCATACTCCAACACAGCAACACCCTCCTCCCATCTAATTGTACCTTATCCCCATATCTCAACGTTATTTTCCTTAATGGCATGTATTACTACTTGTTATATATACTCTTCAACTTCTTACTTGGAGGTAACTATAGGTTCACATGCAGTTGTAAGAAATAATCTAAAGACGTACAGTGTACCCTAGCTCCCCTCAGCAGCTTGACCCTGATACAATTCACTGACTTTCACATTTCACCAGTTTACATGACTTCTTTGTGTGTATATTCAACTCCATGTGGACTCGTGACCACACTACAGTCAACAAAGAGAACAGTTTAACCACAGGGATCCCTCATGCTACACTTCAGAAGCACAGATACCTGCCTCCTTCCACCCCTCCATTATTGTATTTTGTCCTTTGAAGGTATGGGGGCTTTGTATGTTTGTTCATCATTGTCTCTAGAGTGCCTGTCATATAAGAAATGAATAATATGTATTTGTTAAATGTTAGTCATAAGGCAGTGCTCTCTCATGAGAAAGAATTTGTGGCAGGAGCCTTGCTTTATTTGAGGACACAGTGCGTTAGTTTCTTTAATTTTATAATCTTTCTCAGCATTCTGTCCTCTCCCCCCCACCACCTTTACATGCTGGAATGCCTCTGGCTGCAGCAGTAAGATTGTTTATTATTCATGGTTCAGCTCAGGTTAGTTTTATGGTGCAAGTAGAGGTGTCATGAGTAGAGGCATTAACAGTTAATAACTGGTTCATGGATACTTACTTAGATTTCCATGGGAGCCAAAACTCCTTATTGCCTTTACCCTCAGTAGTTAGTTGGAATTAAAAGCTGTGACCACGGCCACTTCTCTGTCTTCTTTTTCTGTTTCCAAATGAAATCTCATATTATTCCCTAAGCAGGATATACTGGGGTTGAATTTCTTCAGAGCCTGTTACTCCTTTTGAAAATTGCATATTTTTGGTGTAGAACAAACTGATGGAGATGTCTTCCACCTCTCATGTTTACATGTTTACTTTGAAGGAATCAAAGTTGCTGACCGAGTGGGGGGCAAAGGATCAGGTGATGCTGTTTCACTTGACAAATTTGCAGAAGTGAGCACAGGCACAGCTCCCGAAGTCAGGGCACTGGTCACTCCACTGTGCAAGAGGGATATTCCACCCTCTGGGACCTCTGTACTTCGTTCTGTGCTGAAGAAACCCTCTGCGAAGCTGTGTCTAGAAAGCCTGCAGGTGAGTGTAGAGCTACATTTCCTAAAGCAAATTGAATGAAAATTCATTTAGTCAGAGCAATACCTCTGAAATGTTAAATGTCATACTGGCTTAAAAGGAAATGTCTCAGCCTGGTTTTCCCCCTCCTTTTATCACTTACGGCACTGTGCAGTTAGTTTGGTTTTTTGTTCTCTTTTAAAAGAACTCAGGGTGGAATATAGCATGTAAGAATTTAATATAGGTAGACTATTTCATAAGAGTTTCAAACTATTTGGTCTTAGAGATACCTCTTTTACAAGCATGCACCTTTCTCAGCTCAGTTGGTGTGAGAAAAGGATAGGTTAAGGGAACTAGCTGGCATTTATTGAGTACTTTCTAGACTGCTTCTTGTACGTGCAGCCTAAGTCCTCTAAGAAAGGTATTAGCCCCATTTTACATAAACTTAGGCTTGAGGTTAAATGAGCCCAGACAAATCTGATGCTAGAATCCATGAGGGACTGTCAGTGCTGTGAGAGATTGAGAGGATAGGCTCTGCAGTAAAGTGCCTGGTTTCAAATCTGGACTCAGAGGTTTAAGAGCTGGGCAAAATACTTAACCTTTTTGTACCCTAGGTTGGTTTGTTTTTTAATCTGTAAAAAGGATAATATTCGTAACTACCTTACAGGGTAATCTGAGCATTAAGTGGGATAACAGTGTGAAGTTATCACCAGTGCCTGGCAAATGAGAGGTACAATTTTTTTTTCAATCTGTAGGCATTTTAACATACAACTATGCCTACAAATCTGTTTTTAAAGCTAAAATGAACTAGATTGCCTTCTATCTACATGGCTAGTTGTTCAGTTATTATTTTAAATGTTTTAATAGTTTTCCTGGTTAAGAGCTGATTTGGGTCTCTCTGCAGCACTGCTCATTCATGTCTTCTGTTTGTTTTATCTCCTCAAAGAGATTTGGTATCGTAATGATTTGTATAACTTTTGCATAGCAAACATCAAGCTGCCCAAAATTTGGAGATGTCTGCAGCTGAAGTTTTTTGCTAACTTTTATAGTTGTTTTCATTAAAAATAAGTCTAAAAGTTAACATGAACTTCATTTTATAAGTTCACTTGATTCACAAATATTGATTTGGGCATTTTCCTGTTTAGGAAAATGAAACTGACTCAGGAGGTAGTTGGTCAAGGAGGTTTGTTCGGGGCAGGACTGTTTCTTAGAGATGGTGCTGCTCTTGGAATGGGTGTACTGGAGAGGAAGACCAGCAGTAGAGAACAAGGGCTGGCCTGAGTAGGGTGAGACTGGACAGGCAGGTGGTGACTGGGAGGCGATGCTCATTCAGCACCCAGCCCTGGCTCCTGCTCTGCTCCAGTGTTTAGGCTGCTCCATCCTGTTCTTCAGAGGCCACACTGTGCTGTCCTCACCAACTCGCCTACTCTACAGTCTTCCTTTGGGAAAGCACAGAGGGACAAATACTGTCCTCTTTCCTTATTTCTAACTTAAGAATGTACTAATGTAGACAGGAGATTTATACACTTATAGTAGATGGTGTGGTTCCTGTGTTTAAAAGACAGAATGCCCTATTACTTGCCTATTCGTTCATTTTTTGTTTTTGTGCAGTTCTTATACCTCAGGCCATTTATATAGTCTGCCTTATCTGCCACCATCTGTAGCACACTGTCAGTCTAGCCACACACAGTTTTCTTAATTTCACTTGCCAAATCAAAAATGAGGGAATGAATTTAGCCCACATTATGGATTTATCTTCTTTGATTTTGACCTAAAATACTACTGTTTATTAAAGTTATTTCTAAGGAACCTAGTTTTTCTTTGTGGCTAATATTGTGATGGTTTAGCGAGAATAATTATTGAAGTAAAGGTCATCTACAATACTATAGTCTCTACCCTTGGCTGCAAAAAATTCAGTTGTCATTTTTAGTGATTGTGTATATGTGTTTATATATGTAAAATTCACTGATGTTCACTTTGTTTAGGAACACTGTGATAACCTCTGTGATAATGGGAGTCATCCAAGCTTAATCTCAACCCTTGCAAACTGTTGCAAAGAACAAAAAGCAGGTAAGAAATTCATGTTTATTTTGAAGACTAAGGATATCATTGTCTTGTTATAAAAAATCTAATAGAGGATATGGTATTTTCAATGACCTGCTAAAGCCTTGACGCTTCTGAAATTATATGGGAATGATGGGAGAGATGGAATCTCTTTGGAGGGTCTCAGAATTGATCTGTCCATTTAATCTATCCATTTTTGCTTGATGGTGAAACTTGATATTCCAATATTGTAAACTTCTAAGATACTCATGCAAAATTTACTTTAAAATCTGTTACCGTATTTTAATTAGAAGTACTACTTTTTCATTTTGAATTTTTTCTCTACAAATTTTTATACAAATAATAACAGAATCTAATCTTGTTAAAAGATTCTAGAATATGCTTTTTAGATAAGAAATTGATCTTAATTTTTTAAATATGTTTTTATTATCTATAGAAGGTCAAGAAAATTATAAGGTACCAGCCTTTGTAAATATGAGGAAGAGGAAGAGAGTTACTTTTGGAGAGGACCTAAGCCCTGAAGTATTCGATGAATCTTTGCCAGCAAATACTCCATTGCGCAAAGGACAAACACCTGTTCGTAAAAAGGATTTAAGTACTGTCACTCCTTTGCTACTTGAGCAGTCACCAGTTCCCGAGCAGTTGCCTCAACCAAATTTTGATGACAAGGGGGAAAATCTTGTAAGTGTGAAAAATGTGGAATGGAACAAAGTTGTTTGTATTTTAATCAGACCTCACCTATTTAGCATGAGCAGTAATTATGCTTTGAAATCATGAAATAGACCAAGTGATGTGTCATGGTATAAATCAATATATTTTTTTAGGTAGGTTATCAGTTTTCTCCTATTAAAGACAATACTTTGGTGATTCATTTTACATAGCATATTTAACGGAACCAAAGTGCTATGGATCGTATGATGTTTTATGTATCACTAAGAAAAATGCTGAAAGTTAAACTATGACACCATGAACTAGAAGATGTACAGTGGCCCCCCCATCCATGGTTTCACTTACCCATGGACAACTGCAGTCTGAAAATATTAAAAGGAAAAATCCAGAAGTAATTCATAAGTTTTAAATTGCATGCCATTATGAGTACCTCATGTCATCTCATCACGTAGGCATTTTGGCATCTTACATCATCACAAGAAGAGGGAGGGTGAGTACAATAAGATATTTTGAGAGAGACTGTGTTTTATATAACTTCTATTACAGTGTATTATTTTATTATTAGTTATTATTGTTAATTTCTCACTGTGCCTAGTTTATAAATTAAACTTTAACACAGTATGTGTAGAGTTTGGTATTACCCGTGGTTGTAGGCATCCAGTGGGGGTCTTTGAACCTACCCCCCTCTGGACAAGGGGGACTACTGTAATCAGATTTCAGAGGTGTTAAAATATGAAAGAACAACAGACTAAGAATTGATATACTGTAAAGATAATGTTTTTCCCCTAAGGTGAATTTTTACAGGTAGAATTACTAAAGAAGATGAATAGGAACTTTTTGATGAATATTGCTAAATTTTCATCCAAAATGTACGTACAAATTTGGAATCCCTGTAATATAAAATGGTTTTATTTTACCATACCTTTGTAAGTCCTAAGTATTAACCATAGTTATTTAAAACAGCCTAATAGGAGAAAAAGATGACTTGAAATTTTTTAGTTTATTAGTGAGATTTGAACATTTTTCACGTTTATAGGCCGTTTGAATTTCTTCTCCTGAGAACTGCCTATTAATCTTCCTTACTTTTGTTTATTTAGTTTTTTAAATTTAAGTTCTTTAAACATTTATTTTTTATTTATTTATTTATTTATTTATTTATTTATTTATTTATTTTTTTTAAAGAGGGAGGAAGAGAGAGAGAGAGACAGAGACATCAATGTGAGAGAGATACGTCAATCGGTTGCTTCCTGTTCGCTCCCGACCAGGAATCAAACCTGCATTCTAGCTCTGTGCCCTGACCAGTAATCGAACCTGCAGCCTTCTGCTGCCTGGGGCGGTGCCCCAATCAACAGAGCCACACCAGCCAGGGCTCCTTTCCTATTTTTATATTGGGACCATCATTCATTCTCTCTCTTGCTATTACACTTTGATATATTTTGCTTTCGGCTAGGATGGAGTAAGAGGGACCTAATTTTACTCCCATGAGAAACAACTAAAAAACTAGAGAAAATACACAGAACAGTGTATTCCACAGAACAGTGGTTCCACAGAACAGTGAAAACCACAGAACAGTGGTTCTCAGATATTTAACGTCAGGCAGCTCAGGATGGTAATTTCTGATGGGGGTAACAAATGAGGTGAGCTTATGAGAGGCCCAACTACTGCCTGGGCTGAATTTCTAGGCTGCAGCGCAGAGGGGGGTTACCTCCGTGGAGTCTGGCTGTCTCATGAGTTGAGAAGATGGAGTTGGGGTTTGGGAAAGCAAAAGCCAGAGTTCACAGGACAGTACCAGAGAGGAGGTAGCTGCATAGAGAGCTCTGGAGGTCTGCAAAGGGTCCCATTTGATTCCTCTGCTTAGTGCTGGTCAGCACATGCTTGGGAATAAACTGCCGGAGGCCAGGGAAGAACTGCCCAAATGGAGCAGAGGGAACAGTGCCTAGAGCTCACACACACGGGCAGGATCAGTGTTCCCGCCAACGTGGGTAGAAGTGCCTTGTCATTCAAGAGGGCATCGGCTATTCAGGAGAGTGGTGCTTATTAGTGGAGCAGTTACACTAAAAGTCTGGCAACACTTAAAAGCTAGCCGAGAAGGGATCAGACCGGCATCCAGCTACCCAACTGCATCGAAGAGCAAAGCTCAAGGAGAGCACAACAAAACTATAGCACTGAGCAACATTAAACTCAGAGTCTGACAGTCCAGTAAAAGGCGGTAGGTGTGCAGCAAAGGATGCCCGTGTGAGATTAGTGAACCTGAAGATGTTGCAATGAAAGTTATTCTCGATGAAACAAGAAAAAAAAACGAAACAAGAAGGAGCAGACAGTCATGAGCTGGGACAACGTCAGCTGGCATAATATGCATGTAATTAGAGACCCCCAAAGAGGAGCAACCAGAAGGAACAGAAATAATATGTGAAAAATAATAACTGAAAAAGTTCCCAATGTGGTAAAATTATAAACGTGACATAAAGAAGAACAAATAGAAGACATTGAAACATCTAATGGTGTACTCCGAGGAGGGGAGAAAGAAAATCCTATCACCTAGAATTCTATCTACAGTGAAACTTACCTTTCATCAAAACAAAGGTGAATTAGCCCAGCCAGTGTGGCTTAGAGGTTGGAGTATTGTCCCAGCACCAAAGGGTTGTGGGTTTGATTCCCAGTCAGGGCACATACCCAGGTTGTGGATTCAAATGCCCATCAGGGCACAAGCATGAGGCAATCGATCGATGTTTCTCTCCTTCCTTCCTCTCTCTCTGTCTAGAATCAATGAAAACATATCCTTGAGTGAGGATTAAAAAAAAAGCGGGTGAATTAAAGGCTTTCTCAGATGTGAAAACTGGAAGAATTTATAGCAGGTTAGCATTGCAAGAAATGTTAAAGGAAGTCACTTAGTCAAAAGGAAAATGGTTCCAGATGGAAATCTGCATTTAACAAAGGAATGAAGAGCACTGAAAATGCTAAATATGTGGGCAAGTATAGCAGACCTTTTCCTCTCCTTAATCTCTATAAAAGATAATCACTCAAAGTAAGAGTAACAACAATCTGTTGTTTGGTTTGTAACCTATGTAAATAAAATATACAATAAAAATAATATGGCATAAAGGTTGGGAGGCATTCTTAGGCTATACACAAAGTGGTATAAGTTAAAGATGCATACTATCAATCATAAACCACTTTAAAAGGACAGCACAAATGTGTGGAATGCAGCTAAAGCAATGCTTAGAGGGAAATTTTTAAAAATTAAAGCCTGTATTTCAAAATAAGAGATGTCTCAAATTGATCCCAACTTCTACTTTAAGAAATTAGAAAAAGAAAAATTAAAGCAAAGTAAGGAGAAGAAGGGAAGTGATAAAGATAAATGCAGAAATCCGTGGAATAGAAAACAAAAACAATAGAGAAAAATTATTGAAATCAAAAGATTGTGCTTAAAATAATAATGTTGGTAAGCTACTAATCAGATTATTCAGGGAAAGGGAGACGACTCAAGTTACCAGTATAAGGAGTGTGAGAGGTGATATAATATATGCTCACATTAAAAGTATGATAAGGGATATTATGAACAACTTTATGCCAATAAATTCAACAATTTAGATAAACCATACACATTTCTTAAAAGACACTATGTCAACTAAAGAAATTTAAGTTATAATTAAACCTCGGAAAGAAAGCTGCATGTCCAGATGATTTTACTAATGAATTTACCAAACATAGAAGGAAAATATAGTACTAATCCTAAATACACTCATCCAAACAAATTAAGGAAATGGAAATACTTCCCAATTCATTAGTGTCATCATTACGAGATGCCATGATCAGACAAACAGACATAAGGAAACTACAGCCCAGTATCTTCATGAACATAAGAATATATAGAAAGAAGCCGTCATGACCAAATGAGATGTAATATTTTAAAATCAATCTGTATAATTCACCATTTTAACACACTAAGACTGAAAAACCTTATGTTCATCTCAGTAAATAGAGAAAAAAATTTGACAATGTTTTCAGGATTCATTTTTGATAAGAACTCTGAGCAAACTAGTGAAAAAAGAATCTTCAACCTGACAAATTTTATCTAAAAAATCAGTTACCATCATAATGGCAATTACTTGGGAAATAAGAGATTTAACAGCATGTTGGTATTGCCATTTTACCCTGAAGTTCCCCTGAATAATGTTGTAATGGTAGGTTGTGTTTATTAATGGGTTCTTATTTACTTTTATAGGAGTTAGGACATGGGATTTTAAATAAACTAAAAAGTAACTTACTAGTGGATCATTATGGCCAGTTTCACTTACAGGGGTTTTGTTTTGTTTTTTGGTGGATTGTAGTTAGTAAACAGTTTCATTCAAGATAATTGGTAAATACAAATATTTTTATATCCAATATCTTTTGTTTTACCTTGATTACTTTCTTTTTCAACCTTTTATTGATTTCCCATCTCTATGCGTTTTACAGTTCCACCTACAAAAATACATATTTTCTTTGGGGCGGGGCCTATTACTTACATGTCCACTGAATTTAAGGATGTCTAATTTCTATTTTTATTTTCTTTGTTTAGGAAAACATAGAACCTCTTCAGGTATCATTTGCTGTTGCAAGCCCTCTTAGTAAGTCTTCAATCTCTGAGAATCTTTCAGGTAGTAACATTTGCTTATCTTATATTCATAAATGTCATTTGTAATGTCTGTGTATATGGAACTTAATTTCCTTATTTTCTTTTTAAAATTTTATTTTTATTACAACAGTACTTACTTGGTATAAGAAAAAACAAATAGTGTAGAAAAGCTTATAAGAAGTCTCTTATTCATCCATTTCCATTTCAGTCCCACACTTCATAATCACCCTCATTTAAATTCCTTAGGTGGGAGCTCCTTTTCCCAGTTAGCACAGTTGAAATGATACGGACTGTAAGGGTCATTCCGAAATATCCATAATTGTTCATCAACATTAACATGGCATCTTGGGCACATGTACTTTCCAAGGTCTCTGGCCTATTTATGATCATGACAAGGTGACAAGGCAACAAATATCACTGCACTTCCCTGACAAACCAGAACTTGGCTGGCAAGCATGACATGGGAAAAAACACGTAGGATGGGAACCATTATTCATGCCTTTCCCTTGGTTGAAATCTTTTGATGGCTTATCATTGGCTATAGGACAAACCAAGTTCATTGGCACAGAATCCAAGACATTCAGTAGAGCTAAAATTTGAAGGATAGTTCATCACGTTCAAAAACATATGCTTTTTAACACATTATACTGCCTTTCATTTATACCATTAAAAGTAATTGAATTAAAATTTTCCTGAACTCTGTAAAATAAAATATTTTCGTGGTCAGCTTAATGCTCTTTATTGCAATTAATTTCATTTTACAAAATATAGCTTGGAATAAATGGACATGTGTGAAAATATGGATGTTTATTATAATATGATTTAGTCTGTTATCTGAGCAAGGTAACATGTTATGCAGTCTCTATGGAAAGTGTGAAGACTTCCTGAGTATTCAATAAACTTAAAGTTTTCATATTTCTGAATCTCAAAATGTATTCCTAATGGTAATTCTGTTTAGATATGATAAGATAGTGAAAGCAAAGGTGGGTATTCAAAAGAGTATCCAGTGTATCTGAAAGATGGCGGGTCTTACACCTATTAGTGACCCTCATTTTGCTGGTGTTTTGCTCTTCAGGCACGGATACGTTTAGCTCTGCAAATAACCAGGAGAAAATTTCTCCCTGTAAAGATGGTAGAAGAACACGGACCTCTAACAGAAGAAGAGTAAGTGTTAATATTTGGCACAATGTATTTGTTTTTAAATCTTGCAGTAGATTTTTTCTTTTTTCATGATTAAATGGTTATGGGTAAAGTCTTGGCTTAAACAGTGTTATTAAAAGCTAATACCTTGTCCTACCTAGCATGTCACCCAGGGTAATGATGTTTCCTGCTTTGGTTTTAATTCTGTTAGAAGAAAAATCCAATAAAGCAAGAAGCTTTCAGAGTTTGTGTTAATGTAGAAGATAATCTGTTTGAAATCTATGTGGTTTTATGAATTTTGTCGAGGTACAAAGTAGAGAAGAGTAGCATATAATTAGAGCCAGAAAATGGCATAATTATGATCTTTTTTTAAAACTATACTTTGTTTTGTGTTGTGTTTTAACACAGGGTTTCAACTATTTTCAGTATGAGCCTAATTTTAATTGAATGCATGTCTTTTACTATTTTATTAAATTAGATAAAATTGGATTTTTGTCTATAGCATCATAGTGCATAAACATATGCACTATGTTATATGTTACAGGGTTTTTAGCTGATACCGTTAAATGATAAACCCAGAATAGTCTAGTAGTGTATGATTATTTTTTCACATAGCTCAACAGCAAGCAGTTAGGTGCTGAGTTGTAGATGTTTAATAAATATTTTGGTGAATAAATAAATCAACTAATTTTTAAGGTTTTTTTTTTCTTTTCTCCTCTTATAATAATTGGACAGAGTGTATATGCTTCTGGGTCCATGTTTGATAGATCAGAAATTAATAATTACTGTTTCCCCCAGTTGAGGTTAAGTGGGAAAAACACATCTAATGGAATTTGTGATTTTAGAGGGGAAAAAAGAATAGAAGCAGCATGGGAAAGAAAACAAGTGTGAGAGAACATGCATTAAATGTAACATTGCATTGTATGGTCTTCCTACTTTAAATTTTCTTTATAGCAGTTGGCCAGTTGTGCAGAAGACAGTGTTTGCAGCTTATTTAATACAGAAGCTCAGCCTTGCAAAGAAAAGAAAGTTAGGAGGAGGAAATCTCAAGAAAGCAAGCGTGCAGACAGAATACTTCCTAAAAAGAATCCGGTGAGTGTGTGTCCAAAGATATATTGCAAAGTAGAAGTGGTGCATTTTTTTTTTTGTATGGTTAGGGATACATGGGAACAATTTTTGTTTTTTTTAGTTAACATTAGACCAAGAGTGTTAAAATCATCTTATCCTAGAATAGAAAGGGCCATAAGAGATTATATACTCATTCTTAATTGCCCGAAGGCCTTTTTGCATCTTTATTGTGTTAGGTATATCCAGCACAGAAAGTCATTGGCACTTAAATGTTAAATCGATTCTTATCTCTGAATCTAATCTAACCTCACCCTGTTTGGGAAATCCTTATTTCCTAGACAGGGATGAATGCACCATCTGCTACTCGTTTGACTTTGCTTCTGCCAGTGGCTGGATCACTTCCCCATATTTAAGGAACAGTTTAGAAACTAGCTCTCAGTCAGTGTGTGAAGGCCTATCCTAGCTCAGGTGCCTTCACCATCTTTTGTGAATAACTGATCCTAGCACCTTAACCCAGTTACTGGTCCCTCTCCCTTTCACTGATCTGGACCTTCCTCTGCAATACTCCACAGCTTGTTAATACCCAAACCCCTCCCACTTTTAATAATATACATTTGTATGTCCCCCTCTCAGACCCCCAGCCTTCTCCATCAGCACTCACACTCTCTTACTCGTATTCCTCTGCTCATACTAATGATCTTCTGGTTCCTCTGTTTACTCTCAAGCTTTCAGATATCCCTTAATTTACCATGTTTCCTTATAGATCCTAAACCACATGAGCTGTTTTCAACCACTCTAGTCAGTAATCTCAGTTCTGCATCCCTTTCATCCCACTTCCACTCTGGACTAACCTAGCTACGATCCCCTCTCCCATCTAACATCGATCCTGGAGAGACTCACACAGATGCTTCTGCAAATCCAGTTCCACATACTATCTGGCCAGTTCCACATACTATCTGGCGTTTGGTCCCATTCTCCACTTCACTTTAATTATTTTTCCAAGTTATTTAGTAACTTAGTGATCAAAGTCTAGTGCATCCTTTGAGGCCTTGTTCTCACCATCTCAGCACCATTTGACATCACTGAGAACACTCTTAGAGTCTCTGTTAAAGGTTATTTTCTTCCCCCATCCTTAGATGTGTGTATTACCCAAATTCTACTTTTGCCCTTCCAAATTGTGTATTTTCTGGGTGATTTCATATGCAGCATGGTTGATGACTTCTAAATCTTTATGATCTATAAACATTATGTTCAACTACCTACTAGACATCTCTTGTTAAACCATCTTACAAACACCTAAAAAAATCAACATTTTCAAAACTACACTCTTAATTTCACCCCAACACACACCCAAAACAGTCAGTAAACTTTTTTTATGCTTCATAAAACAAAAAATGTTGTCTTTCATGGTTTAAGCAGGGCACAATCACCCCCAAGTTGGTAGAACTAGAAGAAACTGAATGTTTTCCTGGTTCAGTCCCCATTTTAGGTCATGTACTCCTTTGAAAGATCTCTTTGCTGAAAAAAATACACGTAAGTTTAAAAAAATGCATTCATCTTACTTTATTGCTTTAGAAATTGGTTTTCCTCATACTCTTTAAAAAACACTGTTCCAAAGAATGTATATCTACTTATTTAATAAAATCAATAGCCAGATAGTTCAGGAAGGGTTGAGCATTAAGTTTTGTTCCAATCCCTCCCAGGATCCCACTGCATCAAAATATTGATGTAATAGGAGGGATAGACTTAGAATAGCAATGAGAAAAGGAAGGAAATGAGGAGGGGTATTAAGCAACAGATGACAGCCTTCAATGAATTTCTGGAAGACAAAGCAGATGGGAGCATGTTGACAGATAAAAGAGGTGGAAAGATTTACAGCTCAGAATGTGCTAGGAGGGAGCTAGAGAGGCGCTGGGAGCCAGCCTGTCTTTTGGATCCCAGGAGACTGGGCCCAGTATTGGCAGGTACAATGGATGGTGAGAGAGAAGTGGTAGAGAAAAACAGATTAATTGAAGTTCTGTATGCGAAACAATTTGCACCAGTTGGCACCCCACCCCCATCTTCCACCCTGAAGCTCAGAACAGATGTTGTCATCTAGGTTAAAGCCTTCATTCTGGCATTTGGAAAATCCCACAGTCTCAACAGCCAGCTCTTGCCCTAAGTAAAAGTCTGCAATTGACATTTCTTATTCTCCCTGTCCCACACAGAGTTCCTAGTAGAATTGCCACGCAGGAAAGAGACTGAGCTGGAAAGCAGAGGAAACCTGTACCAATTTCCAAACTTTTCTTAAGTAAGACTCAGATAACTGAGTAGAACCAAGAACATGAAAGACCAGTATTAAAAAGTTGAAAGAAATGTTATTCAGAGAATGGAAGGAAATATTGTTTAAAAAGTAAATACTCTGATATACTCAAATTTAAGAAAGTATATACTCAAATTTAAGGAAGTAAAAAACTACGAAGGGGGATGCTATGAAAAAGGAACAGAAAAAGAGTATTTGCAAAAATATAAAATTTAGTGGTTCCATTAGAGAATGAAATTAAGGAAAGTCTCCCAGAGGTAGAGCAAGAGAAAGAGAGACTAGTAATGAGGTGGAAGACCAGTCTAGGAGACTACATGGGAATCTCAGGAACAAGAAAGTAGCATGGAAGAAATTGTCAAAATAAAAGAAGAGGATTTCTTAGAACTGAAGAAAGGCATTGAAAAAGGTCAGCACGTCAACAAATCGTGAAATTGAACAATAAAAATAAGGAGAAAAGTGGACTTTTCCTACCAGGAAACAATAATCAGAGTGATATCAAGTTCCACAGCACTCTGAATGCTGAAAGATAATTCAACAGGACATTTAAAGCTTTGAAAGAAACTTAATTTCAGCCCAATATTCTAACCCCAGCCAAATTTAATTAAGTGTGAAAGAAAAAATACATTTGACATTTCAAGAACTTTCAGTTTTTCTTTGGGTATTACTAGAGATGCTCCTTGAGCAAAATGAATTAAGCTTGAGAATTCAGGACCCAGTGGATCTAATAATACAGGAGAGTGATGCAAGGAAAGTCTCTGATTATAGCTATTCAGCCAGCCCAAGTAAGTGCAAGAGAAAAGGGTATTCTAGGAAGAAGGTCTCTAGGGAAAAACAAAAAGACCTGTGATTGAGAAAATGGAAGGTGTGCCATATAAGAAAAAGAAAGGTAGTTATATGTCGTTTCAAATAAAAGTTTGTATACAAAAGTTTTGTAGCAAATATGATTTCAAGACATAAGGAAGTATAGGAAAAGTATGTTTGGTAGTGCTAGAAATCACCTACAGGGGGCGACAGAGGAAAGGAATAGGATACCTGCCCTTGGCAGAGCAATGGCAAATTTTTATACAGTCTTAATAATGTAAATGCTGTTTGTTTTCCACTAAGGGCAAAGTTTTAACAGCTTGATTATGTACAAGGTGATCTAAAAGGAGCTAAGAGCAGAAGGCGAAAGTGGGTAGGAAGGAGGGCAGTGAGGATATTACCACTGACAGTATAGTGGTTGAGAGTGCAGGTTCTGGAGCCGGGTAACCTGGGTTCTGAATCCTGCCACTTCCTAGCACTGGCATGGTGGAAAGATTCTTGATTCTTCTATTGGTTTTAAAATGGAGGTGTTAACGGTACTTATTTTATAGGCTCATGGCGAATAGTAAATGAGTTAATACATGTAAAACACTTAGAACAATGCCTGGCCATAGTAAGCATTATGGCTGTTGTTACAATTATCATCTTACAAATTAGGGGTTTAAGTTCTATTTTAAAAGATGCAAAGAAATACAAATGTAAATTCAAAGGTAACCAATGAAAGAACCAAAATAACAAGGATGTGGAAGGCTTAGTTTAAGTGAAAAAGAGCCTCATCTTTCATGGCAGGGATTAGTGGAGATTTACACTGTGTTTTATGCTCAGAGTCTTCTAAGAGAATAGATCTTACTTAACGGTGGTAACTGGTCACTGTGTGAGGTGATGGATGTGTTTATTAACTTGATTATGGTAATCATGTTATAGTGTATATGTGTATTAAATCACTGTTGTATACCTTTTAAAAATGTACAACATATATATATAATTTTTGTCTATCGTACCTCAAGCTGGAAAATTTTAAAAAATAAATAAAAAGAATTTCTAACATGGAAGTAGCTTTAGAATTCATAAGATTGAATTCTTTTATAACCTAGAAATGGAGAAAGTTTCCAAAATAAGACTCAAAACCCAGAAACTGAGGTCAAAGACTGGTAAATCTCATTCCATTTGACCCAAACAACATGTAGCATGCATGGAGAAAAAACACTCTATAAGAAAATTTAAAAGACAAAGAAATGTGGAAAAAGTATATCCAATTTATATCACACACAAAGGAGTAAGATCTCTAATAATAAAAAAGCTTCTAAATTGAGTAAAAAGTGAACTAATAGAGAAAAATATCTAAGATATTTTTAAATGTTCACAAAATTGAAATGAAAATGGCCCTTAACCATGAAAAATATGTTCAGAGTTTCTCATCATAAGAACTACAGTGAGGTGCCATTTCTTAGCATTTTAGATTAGGAAAAATGCAACTGTTTGGCAGCATCTTCTGTTGGTAAGGCTAGGTGGTAAGCAGGCGCGCTCATACATTTTCTGGTAATTCAGATCTCTGTGGAGGGCAATTTGGCAATATCAAGCCAAAATAAAGATTCATTTACCTTTTGACCCAGCAGTCCCATTTCTAGGAGTTCGTCACAAAAATCCAGTAACAAAAAGGCATTTTACAAAGTTATTTATTGCAACACAATATAATGTCAAAGACTGAAGACAAACCAAAATGTCTGTCTTTATAAGACTGGTGAATAAACTATGGTGTGTTCACAAAGTGAGTATTTTGTAGCTATAGAAACTAGTGAAGAAAAATTCCAAATACTGCTATGGATTGATGTCAGGAATTATTTACTGTTAAGTGAAAAAAAACTGTAAAGTGATGTGTATAGTAAGCTGCTTGTTAGGGGATGAACTATGTCCCCCCCAA